TTTCCTCGCCTGATGCTCTGGTCCCTTCTGATAAGACTAGACCTAGGTACTTTACTGAAGTCTGACAGAGCCGAGCTTTAGATTTTGAGACCCTATATCCCTTTTCAGCTAAGAAATTGAGGAGAGCCTCAGTGCCTCCCTGAGACTTCCTTGGTTGGGGGACAGAGGAGAGTGTTATTTATGTACTGCAGAGTTTCAACTCGAGGGTGAGAAAAATTAGAAAGATCTTTGGACACGGCCTGTTTCAGCGACTTCTTTCTCATATTAAGGGCTGTCTGAGTAATAAACTTGTTCTTTAATGAATAAAAAGGTTTAAGGATTTTTATTTAGCTTTTGATCTATTGTGGAAAGCTTGGAGGAGTTAATAGGTTTAGCTCTAATGCCCTGCAAGTTCTCCAATATACACATTTGAAAGATTTTCCTTCCCCATTTTCTGATGCTATCATCATGGTCTCATTTAGAGTCCTCCAAGGGCACTGCTATTTTCCCCTCTGGCTTCTCCATCCCTGGAACATCCAGGAGACTTTAAATACTTGGGTTAAATCTTGGAAGGCCTCTGTACAAGAGTGAAGTTGGGGCTTGCCCAGAGTGAACTTTAGGGTCTGAGGGCTAAAGGAGATCCAGGCTGCACTCAAGGTAGTGCAGGCTTGAAGATGGGGTGTTACCCATGTAGAAGAGACAAGAGAAGAGGCATCCCTCAGTCTCCTTCTCTTCAGAGTGACCCATGATGGAGGGAAAGGCTGGAGGGGCATTCCCCTTCACCCGCTTCCTCCCGTCCTCTGGGTCCCAGTGACTGTCATAGGTACCACCGCATAGTTGCAAGTATGACCTTCACTTATGGTCCTGGAGAAGCTAGTTGGCATAACTAGTCATGCTCATCTGCTTGTGGCCCTGGCCCTTCACCCTTGCTGGTTTCCTAGACCTACTTCGCCGGTAAGGTTCCCAGTGTACCCTAAGGGTCCAGGAGAGATTGTATTTGGGCAAGACACTTTAATGGAATGGAGGAAGTCTTTTAATATTATCTCTGGCTTCCCTTGCTATGGCCCTAGTGAAACACTGAAATCCCAGAGAATGGGACCAATTGACTTCCAAACATAAAATCCCCTTTTTGTTTAAATGTCAATGTAGTTGGATGTAGAAAAGGTGCCTCAAAAAGGAACATAGGAATTGAATGGCTGTCCTCTTGATTGTTAAAGATGGAGCTTTAATATTTACAGATGGGGCATGGAGCCTGGTCCCTAATAGAGGGACATAGGAGGGAGGGGAATCTGGGAACTAGAAGTTTTCGACAAACAGCAGAATCCGGGAACTAGAGGTTTTCGACAAACAGCCAACAAGACTCCCCATGGAGAAAAAAATCCCATCCCACTAGGTGGCACTGTAGGATCTGAGATGTTATGTAAAAACTGACTCTATCTCTCCAGGCAGAAGTTAGAAAGAAAGGTTTGGGAGTTAATAGGCTGTCCCCATAGTATGCCTCCCAGCAGAAGAAAATTAACTTGGCTTCTTAGGAATTGTTTAAATTCATTGGACAGTGCTGAGCTTTTACATGGAGGGAAGAAACAACCCAAAAGGAGAAGGAAACAATCCAAATGGAGAGGGAAGAGGATTTTTACTTGGGGTGAAATATCCCCTTATATAGTGCCATCAGTGTCTATCACTGAGGACAAAAAGCCCTTACTAGGTGAAAATTTAGACTGATCTTGAATTCCTCGTCTCCAGGAAATCACAAACACAACAACTCTTTGTCTTGGTAACTCCAAGTTACCAAGTTACTCTTGTAACTCCAAGAGTTGTTGTGTTTGTCAGTTGGTGTCTTAGTAATCAGGAATGTAACTCACCAACTGACTCTACCCAGCAAGATTATATCCCTAGGCTGCAAAAACATCTGTAACATTGCATACAAAGAAGGAATAAGAGGCATGATAGCCATGAAAAGAAAGAAGGAAAAATGCAGTAGGAAAAGACTGGAAGTCCTTGTGCCCATGCCCTGATAGCTGTCAGGGACTGGAGATAATACTGAGAGGTAGCCCCAGCGAAAAACCTTCATTTGCCCTAGAACGTCCTTCCCATCTCATGCGATGTCTGGGCCCTTCGTGAAAGGAAACTGGTTTGGAATAGAGAAGAAGCCTCAGAAATGAAAGTAAAAGGTTAAAGGTCTGCTCTTCCTCACTCTTCTGATGGTCCCTTCTTCCTGCACCTAAATATGTTGTAGTTTTGCCATGCACCTTAATGTAGCAGTTTCTTGTTCTCTAAACTAGTACCTGGGTTCTTTGTCCTGCATCCAAGAAAATTGAGCATGGACACAAGGGTGGGGGTGGAGCAAAAGTTTAATAAGCGAAAGAAGAAATGCTCCACAGCAGAGAGGGGAGTCCGAGTAGTTTGCCGAGTTACAGCTAAATCCAAAAGCTTTTATAAGAAACTCTTCTCATTTCTGTAGCAGTTTGAGCAACTTCTCTTATCAGTAAAGCTGTCTGTGCAACTCCCCTTATCTTATGCAGCTGTGGGTATGCCTTTAGGCAAGCACAAAGCGCTGCTTCTCTTGTTTGTTTAACTGTGGGTTTGTTTTAGGTAAGCCCCCATCCTCCTTGTGCCAGTTTCCATGGAGCCCACCATGTATATGCCTGAAAAGGGGAGGAATCTTTTTCCTGAGAGCTCACTGATTAACAAAGGGCTTCTGTACTAGACCATGTCTGCTTATCTGTGTGCAGGTGTAGCCTGAGTTTTTTTCCCAGTTTGTTTTAATTGTACCTGTTGCTGTGACTTTTCAGGCAGACCGTTTCTGCAGTCTGAGTTTGCCCTAACTGATTATTCCTTTCCTTCTCCCTCAGTTCTAGAGAGTGTCTCAAAGTAGAAAGATTGTGGGGTGGAGAGTAGACATTACTGAGAACAAAATATAAGAGACATTTCAAAAATATTATCCCCAAAGCAATTCAGGAAAGAATTATGGAGCAGTTGTTATTTGTTATATGCTGGAAATATGGTAGTGAGCAAAATAGCTGAGGCTCCTGTCCTTAATGAGCTTATAGTCTTGAAAATTTTGTAGGAAAGATTTCTATGCAAGGGCATAGAGGTATATACAAAAGGATGATTATTGAAACATTATTATGAAATCAGCAGAAATGCCCATCAATAAGGAAATAATTCAGTAGACTGGAACAGCCATACTATGGAACAGCTGTACTATGGAATATTCAATAATGTATTGAAACATTATTATAATGTTTTCATTCTTATTAAAAGAATTATGTAAGTCTTATACATGCTCACATGGGAGAAAAGTCTATACATACTCATCTGAACATGTGTTCTGTATACATACCAGACATGTCTACATGAGTAGACAAAAATCTTAAAAAATATATTAAGCCAACTATTAACAATGATTTCGTCTAGGAGATGAGATTTGACATCTACTAGGGGACGTCTCTCTTCCTCAGAAAAAGGAAGTAGAAGCTCTTTTAGGGAGAGGTGGAAAATCTGGAGGGAACAACAAAACCTGCTGAAGAGAGGCAGGGAGGGAACTTTCACCTTCATGTCATAAACTTGCATGTTGTTTGAATTTTGTACAACAAACTATGCATTACTTTGTAATTCTTAAGACAAATAATATAAGAAAAAGACATACCAATAGAGTTACTCTGGCACACAACCTGGTTTACGTTTTTTGAATTATTATTTCTAAACTACACATTGGTGAAAGGAGATGGAAAAATATACAACACAAACACAAAATTATGCTCTATTCCAGCTGTGTTGTCCCCTGTCCTCTGTAAGAACGCAAGGCCTGGAGATGTTCCCCAAATTGAGGTCCCTAGGACAGCAAAGGGGTCCCTCACCACCTTCTGCACCTTCACCCCACCCTTTTCCTCCCTCTTCAGCCCCTTTATGTTTCTGACTCTGTCCTGTCTCCCATTCAAAGTTTCTATCTTGCCCTTTTCCCCAAGTTGCTATCTTCTGCCTTAGAAGCAAGTCCCAAATTTCCTTTCATGTTTTACATATTTTCACCAATTCTGGTATCTGTTGTAAATCAAAATTGCTGTCTTTCTCACCCCGTTCTGCTGTTTTAAGCCCAGTAGTTAGACTCAGAGGAAGAAAAACGTTGCCTGAGTCCCTATCTGGGTTATAGTTTGTTTGGGGGTTTATTATCCCTACCCATCTAAAATTAGGCATACCTTGCTCTGCCTGCTTTAGTTTCTCTCCAGAAACATTACATCTTCCTACAAGATCTGTTTTCCCTACTACTGTGTTTTTGAACTTATTCTGAAAGAGTGTTTGGTCCCTCCCAACTTTGGGTTACACTGCAAAGTACTCTTTCAGAATCAAAATGAGTCTTTTTACCAGACCCCGTTTGGGGTTTCTTTTATTTAGGAAGAGTCTTCTGGAAACTGTACTCCTGCTACAGTTGTTTCAAATAGTTGTGTAGAACAACTAAGCCCTTCAGCTAATCTAAAAGCTCTAAATAATATTAGCACTTTGTTCATTCCACAGTAAATTTCTGAATGCTTGCTATATGCCTCAGGTCAACCTGTTTAATTTTTTTCTGAATATTTTAGTCAAACATAGTAATATAATGTGTTTAGCTTTCAAATACAGTAATATAATGGTTTATTTATAGCAAGTGAAATAAATCTCTTGTGCCAAAAGCTCATTTCAAAAAGGAAAATAAACTAAGATCCAGGTCATGGGGGGAAAAAAAAAAAGCCAACCACCTGATAGCTGTAAATACTCTCTTAAGCATCCTCAGCATAAATTCACAAATTAGTTCTTTTTATTACAGAATAAGTGCTGGTTATGCAGTAGCTTTATCTAGGAGTAACTTTATCTCATAATAGCTTCTTTCTTTTATCTTATGTTTCCGTTAAATATTGAAGGCTATATTTCATTCACTTACCGTAGTTAAGTCGATAATATGTAGTCCAACCAGAAAATATAGTCAGCTTGGAGCCAAGCATTGTAGATTACCTGTAAATAAATATGATGACATTTTCTCTTTACAGATGCAAGTATTGGCATTATGATGAAAACTTGCTCACTTCAAGCGTTGTCATTGTCTTCCATAATGAAGGATGGTCAACCCTCATGAGAACAGTCCACAGTGTAATTAAAAGGACTCCAAGGAAATATTTAGCAGAAATTGTGTTAATTGATGATTTCAGTAATAAAGGTAATGGCTGTAAAACTCACATTTTGTCCATAAAATAAGTTAAGCATGAATAATTGCAAAAATATGATTTTGAAATAATTAGCTTTAAAAAATTAATTGCATCTATTGATAGCATCTATTATCAACAAGTTGACACTGTGCCGAGCATTGCTGTGAGTTATTTTGTTTAATACTAACAGTAATCCTTGCAGTAGATATTATGTCCGTTTTACATGCTCAGAGATGTACAAGTAGTACACAAAACTTTGGTTGTACACAAAAATTTAGTAAAAGTATACCACTGGTTGTAATGTTAGAAGTGAAGATAAACATAGGTAGCATGAAAATATCATTCAGAATGGCTTTATAAAAAAGCTTCCTCCAAAATGTAATTGAGAATTCTTGCAGTCTGGATAAACCTTTGCTGGTTTTGCAAGGACATGATTACAGTCGTGAAACTGTACACATATGTTAGCATGAATACATAGAAATATGACCTCTTTTTCCCTTCGTCTGTGCAGCTGATCCTTTTATTAACTAGTCATTTTTAAGTATACTAGAGAATGTATAGCTTTAAAATTTTTAGTCGTATCAAATGCATTTAGAGGCTTTAAGATACATTAAAACTTTTTTCAGTTCTCATGTTAATGTCAAATCTAAAAGCTTTTAGGCACAACGTTTTGTGTATGTCCATTATGTTGCAAATTTCTATGACAGTAATGTTTTCATTAAAATACTATTTCTATCTTAAGACAAATGATATTGTTGATACAATAATAATTTACATGTACAAAAATCTAAATCTATAAAATAACTTTTCAAAATCCCCCAATTTTACTAATTTTAAGAACCTCTGTATTATTAATACCAGTAAAAGTTTATCATATCCTAAAAAAAAAAATGAAAATACACCAAAAGGTATTTAGCATCCTAAAATAACTGCTTTGCCAAAGAAAAGAACACAATTTCAGACCTCAGAGTATTGTGTATTTTTTTACTCTTGTCTTTTTTTTTTTATCTTTACTTCTTTTACAAATCTCTAATGAAGACAATCGTGTAGGGTCCCTTGAGTTTAGAGTAGGCAGAGAAGTTTGGGCTACCCTTGAACAAAAGTACAGCTTTAATTAGTTTTTTCTATTTCAAAACAACCTTAAAATCAACCTTAAAATCTCAGTCCTGTCCTTAGTAAAATTACATACTGTTTGGTTAATCAAACTTGAGTGATAATTTGGTATGTACTTTCCCTAATATATTCAGAAAGTAAAACTTTTAAGATAACGATTTTTCTTTTGAAGACAAAATGCATATAAAAGGAGCTAACTCATAATAACACTTGGGTTTCTGGGCGTTATAGTATTCTCTATAAAGGTTTGGAGCTTTTAACAATAGAGCAAATTACTCCACACACGTGTGTACCAGCTAACTGTGGCTGAGTTGGTCCAAAATAAAAGCAAACCCACACTCTCAGTGGCTTGCACAGTGAAGGGTTAGCTTTTGCTCAAATTACACGGTCCCTGCGGGTCAGCGCTAGCTCTGCTCCCCATCCTCAGCGCAGGACCCAGGCGTGCAGAACAGCCTCAGTTTGGACACTGCCTGCAGAGAGGCAGTGGGAAAGAAGACACACACAAGCGGCCTCTTCACGCTTCTATGTGCGTGACTGATGTCATTTCCACCCACCTCTCATTGGCCACGGCAAGTCACACATGTCCCAGCCTGCAGTCAGAACCAAGAATCTAAACTCGAAGCATAGGCCATCAATTCATTTCTGCCCATAAAAACTGAAGATGTGTTTAAGTTGCATATGCAAAAAATCCTCCTAATGGAATTCAAAAAGGCTTTAAAAAAATAATTTAGGACTGCACTGAACTTTAAAAAGAAGATGATAAAGACTTTTTTTTTTTAAAGTTAACTTGAAGGGAAAATTACTCAGGTTTTCTGAGGGGAAAAACATGATTAAGCACGAGAATCTTATTTATAATACTTATTAAAACTGGGTACCAAAATAGAAAGTTCTTTTTCTCAATTCCAGATACCCACATGTGAGTATCTTACTAATAATATATGCCCTAAAATGAGTAAAATATTAAGTATACAGTCTGATTTGCCCATTTAACCACTAACTCGTCTCTAAATACAGCAGTTTTCCTGTGATTGCATATACATGGGCCAAATTTTTAAGCAATTTTAAAACAATTTGTGTGTCCTCAAGAAGCATCTTTTAACTGATCTGCAGCTCATTCTGACTGTGGTGAGCTAATTTCATGGACTCATAGTGGTACGAACAAAAGAAGTTCTCTTATAATGGGAAGCCAAAGATAGAAACTTTGCCAGATGTGTCTAGTTTTTATAACACAAAACTTCCTCTACTAAATTACAAACACATATTATACATATATGTATGTATAATTAGAATTATCTTTATAATGTATAATTATACATTTGATGCTTAAGATAAAGAGAAAATGCGATTTTTTGATTATTTGCCAACTTGGTGGGAACCATATTCATCATATGAAGGTTGCAGCTTTCAACACTGATTTTGGTTGGGGAAAGATGGCCCAGAAACAAATGTTAAACAACCTATACCCTGTGTGGATTCCAGTGAAATTGTACAGTATTATTAGTAGGCAGTGCATCTTCAGAAACCTTAACCATTGCTTCTGCCAACAGCCAACAAAATGTTGTTCCTGAAAGCGTTCAGATTTGACATTAACATGTGAACAGGAACAAAAATTTTAATATCTCTTAAAACCTTAACTGTCAATTGGAATAATCACTGTTTAGTGGGACGTTGGATAATTCTCAGACTAACCAGTTCTCTGTAGGCATATTAAACTCAAAATTAACTTAAATAATATACTTCACCTTCCTTCTTAATAGATAAAACATTCAATCTGGTCCATGTAAAATTAGTGTCTACCCAATGCACCTGTTTCTTATTCTTGTTTCCTGAGAAAAATAATAATTAATTGGTTTCTATTTATTAGTCTAATTTATAATATCAATTGATTTTTCTTAATAGAGCACTTAAAAGAAAAACTGGATGAATATATTAAGCTGTGGAATGGCCTAGTGAAGGTATTTCGAAATGAAAGAAGGGAAGGTTTAATTCAAGCACGAAGTATTGGTGCTCAGAAGGCTAAACTTGGACAGGTAGGAAGCATTTGATATCTACAATGTCAACATTTTGGGTTTGGTGACTAAATCATATACATTTTTAATCATTCTTCAGTTTTTTTAAATTGAAATGAGAATGCTGGCTTAAACAGATAACTTGTGTGTCAGAATTGACTATAATGCTAATTTTTATTAGCATCTAATTTTAAATTGTGTGTAATATATGATGTAACATATACGAGGAGTATTCTTTCACCTGCCTCTTTTTTTTAAGGTTTTGATATACCTTGATGCCCACTGTGAGGTGGCAGTTAACTGGTATGCACCACTTGTAGCTCCCATATCTAAGGACAGGTAACATTACCTTGCTTTTTTTCTTTCCTGGTTGAAAGTAAACCTTGTCCTGGAAGGGCAAATAATATTTTCATCCTTTGATTCCTGTTCTATTCAGTGTGTCAAGTGTGCATTAGTGTTATCCCTCATCTAGTTGTTTCCTTGGGTGAAGCTAGACTGATACTGTGGACTGATTTAAATGTAGGCAGTCTGGCATTTGGGAAAAACCCAGGGTTCCTCACTCAAGAATCATTTTGTGGTTGGGTTATTAAGACTCCTCTATCTCCAGGCACTTTCCCTAAGAGTAATAGGAATTGCTCCCTCTAAACTGGGGTAAGAGTTCTAAACACTTGAGGAACCATGCTTTGAAATTATACCTATTGATTTTTGTGACTTTTAAATTAGTACTTTCAATAGTAAAGACCAAGTGTTACTTGTGTCAAGGATTTGGGTTCCTATAGAAACATTAAAGTTTAGAAATACACAACTATTCCATGGAATTGTGGCAATCACCATTAAATTTCCAGAAATGTCTAAAACAATACAAGGCACCGTCAGTTTTCTAGCTTCAAAGCCTTCCTTGCTTCTAGTCCATAATTTGGAAAATAAAACATGTCCGTGTGGCAAATGGTAAATGGCATGAATCAAAGGCAGAACTTTGGAGGATTTCATCATGAGAGGATTTAATGTGAAGGCCGATCACGAACATTTTTCACATGCTGTCTGGTTTAATCCTCACAGCAACCCTGCAGGATAGAGATTACTAGCCCCATTTGACTGAAGAGGATACCGAGGCTTAGAGAAATTAAGTAATTTTCCCCAAATCAGATAGCTAATAAACTGTCAGACCAAGACCTCCCTGGGACACTTTACGCTGCACCATGTATTTAGGAATGTGAAAATCATAAGAAGTGAGGAAAGTTAACTGACCAAGTGTCAGATAACTCTCTCTAGGTGAATTCCAGCAGGCTTCTGGGTAGTAAGGAAGTGCTTTTCCAGATTCCAGGGGCAGATTCCACGAATCTGACAATGACCCTCCAGTGTGAGTTCACAGAAGGAAGCACCTGTTCTAGACCCTACTTCCTCCATATTAAAGTTCTAAGCCCTGTAGGTTTTCCCTTTTACTTGGTTTTTAAACTTCTTAAAAGCACCTTGACCTGGATATAAGCAGCTGTCATTTTTGTTTTAGGAAAATAGATTTTAAAATCCTTTCTGACGAGATGAACATTGCAACAAGCAGGGTACCAGATCATCTTTGTAATGTCACTTTGACATCGAATTGGTTATAGAGTACTAGCATTTTCGTGAAGCCCAAATATAAGAGATTTTTTGTTCCAAATTCTCAGACTACTTCTTAAGTTCTTCAGCAAGTTTTGAGGGTTTTTTTTTGCTTTTTTTTTTTTAAAGCAACAATACTTTTTTTTTTTTTTTTTTTTTGCAATAAAAGCTGTTTTCTTGCAGTTAGAGGAGTGAGGAAGATCAAGCAAAAGTACAGGAACAAATTTTCATAATAACTATTTCCAAGAAATAGAAAGCAATAAAGGGTCGAGAGAACCGCTAAGAATGTGGCAAGTACTATTGGTGACCCCACACACACATACATGCATGCACACGCGCACATGAGCTTTTTCATGGGTGATAGGGAAAATAACAGGCAAGAAAATCTTATAAATAATATAAAATTACCAAAATAAAGTTGCCTTTAGTACCAAAGTGAAAAGGAGAAAAACTCTATTAAACTCAATGATATAGTTCTTTGTCCCTGACATTTGTCTGTAAGCCTAGGGAGAAGGCTCCTCTCTCCTGCCCTTACAAAAACAGGCTTTTTGGCTTTTATGGGACATTCATTTACTGTATTTCCCATTAGATACTAAAGCCCCCCAGTGCACAAACAAATCAACAACAAAAAGAGATAATGTAGTTAGGCATGCTGAACTAGTCTTGGGTTCTTAAATGCTTTTTCATTTTCTGTAAATGTTTCAGAACTACATGTACTGTGCCTCTAATAGATTACATAGATGGGAATGATTATTCCATTGAACCACAGCAAGGTGGGGATGAAGATGGTTTTGCCAGAGGGGCCTGGGACTGGAGTTTACTATGGAAACGTATTCCTCTAAGCCACAAGGAAAAGGCCAAAAGAAAACATAAAACTGAACCTTATCGGTAAAGACTATTACTTTATTTTCTTATGTTGAATGTTTATCTAAGTTGTTTTTTTTTTTCTTCCCCATGAACTCGTATAAATGTGTGGGTCCATACGTACGCTTCCATTTGATCTTTGCTGCCATCATCAACACAATACAGAACCATTTGCACTGTGCCGCTTATAGATGTCATAAATGGCAACACATATGAAATTATACCCCAAGGGGGCGGTGATGAAGATGGGTATGCCCGAGGAGCATGGGATTGGAGTATGCTCTGGAAACGGGTGCCTCTGACCCCTCAAGAGAAGAGACTGAGAAAGACAAAAACTGAACCATATCGGTAATCACTAAATCACTTACATATTTTTCTTTTCTCCAGTTGCTGCTAACCTATTAACCTCTTGCCAAGCTAAAGATTTGTTTTTAAAACTGTAGATGCTGTCTCAGATTCTGAAAGAGTATCTTTCCTTATACTGTTTCAGAGCTTTCACTCTACTCCACTTGCTCCGCTGTAATTGCTTTTACCCTAAATTCGATGTCCACTACTGAGACATACACACTTTCATTGGGGAAAGAAAAATAATGTAATATGGCATATGTTCCAAGTACAAGTGAAAAAAAAAAAAAGAAATCTTAGTTATCCTGGATTAGACATCAGATTTTATTCTTTTGATGACAGTGTCATTCTATACATTTAAAATACATAAATTACTTTAATCCAACCAAGACTTTTATTTCCACATTCATGCCGTGGGTATAATGTTAACAATGAAGGGCACTAGCAAGAGATTTTTGGGTTTTTCTCCCCTTTTTCTGTTATGTTAACTCTCAAATACTAATTTTGTACTAAAATCTGATGAATCACAATACATGACTTTAAAAAACATTACATAGAATCCTTTATTGCTTCATTCTCAGAAAAGTGATTTATTAAAAGAAAATTCTATTCAAAAATCAGCTTTTGACCTTCTTGTGGTTCTTTCAGTAGAACAACTTATGCTACTCTCTTCTTTTGATCTTGTAATTAGAACATTTTACTGTCTTTGTAAAAAATGACCCCAAATGAAATGTTTGCTCAAATGTTAGTATAGCCTTCTCCTGAATGTGTCTAATCTCATTTTTCTGATCCTATGGTTCTGCTTTTGGTCTCTCTCTCCCTGTTACACTGCTGATAATGTTAGAATTCTGTTTTGGGATGGTGCTTCCAATGTCATGGAAATGCTGGTGGGATTTGGGCATGTCATGATATCAAGATACTGAATGGCAAACATAAAGAAGTTATAGCACTTAATTAATTATAGTAGCTTAATTGGACATTTACCAAATTTTTTTGGTAAATTTCTTATTCAGAATAGTCCAGGAAATTACTGCTTACCTGCTTAACTTAACACATAACTGTGGGAGAAAAAAAATAAAGAGTGCTGAGCAATTTTATATTTCTGCTAATTCCATAGGCCAGTAAAGAAAATTTTTTAAGTGAGCTAGAAAAATTAAAGGGAGGTTATCTGTTAATTAACTCACTGGTGTCCATGTTAAGATGCATTTTCAAGTATATACTGAGAGGAATGGGAATCTATTTAAAGATAAAAACACAGCTGCCAGGCAAGGTGGCTCACGCCTGTAATCCCAGCACTTTGGGAGGCCGAGGCGGGAGGATCACCAGAGGTCAGGAGTTTGAGACCAGCCTTGCTAACGTGGTGAAACCCCGTTTCTACTAAATATGCAAAATTAGCTGGGCATGGTGGTGTGCGCCTGTAATCCCAGCTACTTGGGAGGCTGAGGCAGGAGAATCGCTTGAATCTGGGAGGCAGAGGTTACAGTGAGCCAGGATCACACCACTGCACTCCAGCCTGGGCAACAGAGTAAGACTCGGCCTAAAAAAAAAAAGACACAACTATAATGGAATAATCTTAAATGACAGTTAAATAAAAGTGACATGAAAATATCACCTAAAATGTAATAGTGTTATTACTGAGTTAGACAGCATACTTTAAGAAAAGGCATAAGAGAACAACTTTTTCCTGATGCTATTTTCTTTTAGTATTGAAAGTATTTCTTGATTCATTATCCACTCAGCAAACATTTATTGAGTGCTTACTGTATGCCAAGCACTATTTTTGGGGATACATTTTTAAAGATATGTTTCCTCATTGAATGTAAAATACAGTGAGTCAGACAGAAATTAAACAGATAACTACATAAATAACCCTAAAATTAGCCTGGTGTGGTGGCACGTGCCTGTAGTCCCAGCAACTCAGGAGACTGAGGCAGAGGGATTGCTTGAGCCCAAGAGTTCAAGGCTGCAGCGAACAATGATTGTGCCACTGTACTACAGCCTGGGCAACAGAGTGAGACCCTGTCTCACAAAACAAACAAAACTCTGGAACAGCAGCTGTGATAAGTAGTATGAAGAAAAATCACAGAGTACATGAGTTTATGGAAAGATGAACCTAATCCAGCTTGGGAAATCAGGAAAGGCCCTTCTGACAAAGTGTCATTTAGGCTGAGACCTGAAGGATGAGGGCCCAATTCTGTGGAGAGGGAACATTTCAGGATCGTGAATAACATGAATGAAGGCCTTGAGACAGAAAGGAGGCCTGCACATTCCAGGTAGGAGCAGAGCAGTGAAGGACTCAACGGGAAGAGAGACCGTGGTGAGCCCAGAGAGCCGGGAGAGGCTGGTATCACGCAGGCGCATGCGGAGGAGTCTGCTCTGGCTACTGTGTGATTAGCCTTGAGTAGGGGGCAGAAGAGAATAAAGGACACAAGCTCGGGACATATTGGAAAGTCCAAGCAGTGTTGGCCTGGTCTAGGCTGGTGGCAGTGAAGTTGGAAATAAGTCAGCAGATTCAAGATATATTTTCAAGGCTGGGTGCGGTGGCTCGTGCCTATAATCCTAGCACTTAGGGAGGCCTAGGCAGGTGGAACTTTTGATCCCAGGAGTTCTAGACCAGTCTGAGCAACATGGCCAAACCTTGTCTCTACAAAATACATAAAAAGGTAGCTGGATGTGTTGGTGCGCACTTGTATTCCCAGCTACTCAGGAGGCTGAGGTGGGAGGACTGCTTGAGCCTAGAAGATCAAGACTGCAGTGAGCCACAAACATGCCACTGCACTACAGGCTGGGCAATAGAGTGAGACCATATCTCAAAAAAAAAAAAAAAGATTTTTTTTTTCAAGGTAGAATCAATGGAACCTTGAAATATGTTCCAATGAACCTATTTGAATAGATTGAATATTATGTATGATGATGAAGTTTACCCTAATAATAATGAATACCCTAAAATTTAAGAAACATGATGAATTAGTAATTAATTGTTTGGGGAGGGGAGCAGGGAGTAAAATAAATTCTGCTGTCATTTCTCCCAATGGTGGGAGTGACTTGTCCCTAAGAAGCTACCAAATCTTTTTTCTCTTGGACCTAAAAAGTGTCCAATTTAAGGTCCATTCAAGAAGCCCCACAGATCCACAGATCACCTTTTTGCATTCCTACCTCCTGGCACAGTAAATACCTATGTCTAATTCTCCTGTGTCGTTTCTGTGCTACATTTGCAAACTCTGAATGAACTGTGGCTGTTCTACGATGATTTACACCCTTATTTGGCGAGTCCCTGAGCTATAAAATTTAAAAATGACAGACTACTTCCATGGTGTATGGTTTTGTTCATCCAAGAATGACTCATAAATCAGTGCAGAAGCAGTTAGCAGACCACGGCTGTATGGCTCAGTGTTTTTAAGAGTGAAAGAGAAAATTCTGTATTAACTAAAACTAAGGCTTAATTTTTAAATCGACAAAGGAACCAAGGCGCCCTCTAATGGTGAAATGAAACAATGCTCTATTTTGTACTGAACTATAGTTTCAGTTAGAAATTGTGGTAAATTCGTTAGGGAATTATGAACAGATTTTTTTCTTTTTTTTTTTTTTGTAAAGGCTTTATAATTTCTTCATGTTTGGCCATCAGTTTTGTCTTTTCTATGCATTTTTAGGCTGTATTATACAAGGCTTCTTGCCTATTGGTGAAGGGTTATTGGGGGTTTGTCTATGATGGTTATTGCAGTGTTTCTTTTTCTTAGGTCCCCAGCCATGGCTGGGGGATTATTTGCCATTGAACGAGAGTTCTTCTTTGAATTGGGTCTCTATGATCCAGGTCTCCAGATTTGGGGTGGTGAAAATTTTGAGATCTCATACAAGGTAACATTTTATTTCAACAGATGGAATTTTCCAAGTAGTTACTAACTTCTGTGGCTTTCAGATAAAGCCGGTTTCTTGTAGGGGGATAAAACCATAATGATATAATGCATTTCTCCAAATTATATAAAGAATGATTTAACGAAAATGGATGCCTTTGAGGGAAAAATAAGGCGAAATGCAAGCTCCAAACTTACCATATATATACAGGGCTCAGCTCAAAATTGTGGCTAGCAACCTTTAGAAATGAAAACACCCCACACCCCAACTTTCTATATACTGGAGCTTTTTATTATAGAAGCTCTTGGAAGAATCTGCGTGCATTAGGGCCACAGTTGACCACCCACTGATATAGTCACCCTTTATCACTAGGACATGATTCAAGACAGAAGCAGAGCCCCACAATGGCTGCATCCTCAGGCTGACTTTGGAGCTGTCTTCCTGCAGCGCCTCCCCTGTTGTTGAAGCAGTCTTGGAGCAATACTACCTTCCATGCTCCAGCCCCCACCTCAACCCCCACTCCTACCCCCATTTTCCAAAAGAAAGAGAGAGAGAACTATATCACAGTTTGAGTTCAACAGGTTTTCGTTACCTCTTGTCTTAAATGTCCTGTGCTTAGCACTGTGAGGGATAGAAGAGGAGTAAACCAGTCCTTGCTCTCAAGGAACTTGATAAGAAGGTATTAGAATTATACTTAAATTCATAATGCAAGAAGGCAGAATGGCATTCAGTTGGTGTGTTTAAAAAACAGTGTCAGGCAGGCACGTTGGCTCACGCCTGTAATCCCAGCACTTTGGGAGGCCGACGTGGGCGGATCAGGAGGTCAAGAGATCGAGACCATCCTAGCCACACAAAAAATTAGCCAGGCATGGTGGTGCGCACCTGTAGTCCCAGCTACTTGGGAGGCTGAAGCAGGGGAATTGCTTGATCCGGCAGGCGGAGATTGCAGTAAGCCGAGATTGCACCACTGCACTCTAGCCTGGGTGACAGAGCAAGAGAGGAGAGGGGAGGGGAGGGGAGGGGAGGGGAGGGGAGGGGAGGGGAGCAGCGTTATGCTAGATGTAGAATTTGAGGCAGAAGTAGAAAGATGGGTATGATGTTAGTAAGTACAGATAAGGGGCGGGAGGGAGACATCTAAGCAAGTAGCATGGGAAAAGTACAAAGAAGGGAACACAAGGAACGTATTCAGAGAACAGCAAGGAGCACACTTGGGCAGAATCAGGCAACATGAATAAGGAAGACATCTAAAAGATAAAATGGGAACGTGTATTAGGGCCATATTGAAGAGAGCCTTTAAAGCTGAGTTAAGAGATTTTTATTTAATTTGATAAGCAGTGGAGAACGATCAAAGATATTAAGCAAGGGAATAACATGACCCAAAGCTGCCCTTCAGCTGTAATAATCTCTTGCTATAAATAAGGATAGTTGAGTAGAGAGAAGCTGAAGGTGAAGAAGCCAGTTAGGAGGTTATTATAATAATCACCCAAGTAGGAAATATATTAGCAATGGAAATGATGAATGAGTTAGGAATAAAGAATCCACATGACTTTGTAAGATTATATTGGGAGAAGGTTGCTAGGGGCTATGGGTATGCAGTAAGAGGCCCGTTTGTAGCAGTTTATTATTAATACTAGATTCCCTGTTGCCTTCTTGGTTGTTAGATGAACTTTGAAGAGCAAATTATTTTAGGAACTTGTTTAGATTGAGAATTCTGTGTGGACATTGTATATAATTTAGATTTTAGATGTACACTTACAAGATACATTTTCAGTTATGGTTTATGTTTGTATTTGAAACAACTTTCACAACGTGTTTTTCCTTCATAGATATGGCAGTGTGGTGGCAAATTATTATTTGTTCCTTGTTCTCGTGTTGGACATATTTATCGTCTTGAGGGCTGGCAAGGAAATCCTCCGCCCATTTATGTTGGGTCTTCTCCAACTCTGAAGGTGAGTTTTTTGGATTAAAGGGGAAGAAAGAGAAATAACATTTATGTACCACATGCTATAGTAATTACTTAATAATTTTCAGCTTATTGAGTGGGGTAAATCTCTTCAGCAGTCATGTTGATTCTCACGTTGAACTTAGCTAGACTTATTCATGAAATATCTTATTGTTCTTTAAGATTATTCAGCTGAAGCAGGAGGATTCCTTGAGCCCAGGAGTTCAAGGCTGCAGTGAACTATGATTGCACCACTGCACTCCACCCTGGATGACAGAATGAGACCCCATCTCAAAAAAAAAAAAAAAAAAAGATTGCACCCTATTTTTTTAATTGACAAGTAAATATTGTGTGTATCTTGTACAATATGATGTTTTAATATGTGTATACATTGTGGGATGGCTAAATCTAGCTATTTAGACATGTATTATGTCACTTGTTTTTGTGGTGAGAACACTTAAAATTTGTTTTCAGCAATTTTCATATATGTAATATATTATAAATTGTAGTCACCGTGTTGTATAATAGATCACTTGAAACTATTCTTCCTAACAGAAATTTTGTGTCCTTTGACCAAAATCAGCCCACTCCCCCCAATCCTCACTTTCTGGTAACCACCATTTTACTCTCTGTTTACTTGTTCACACTCCATATGTAAGTAATATCATGCTGTGTTTGTCTTTATGTGCCTGGCTTATTTCATTTAACATAATATTCATGTTGTTGCAAGTGACAGGATTTTTTTATTTTTTAAGGATTTTTTAAGGGTGCATAGTATTAATACTATCGTGTATATATACCATATTTTCGTTACCCGTTCATCTGTTGATGGACACTTAGCTTGATTCCATCTCTTGGCTATTGTGAATACTGCTGCAATGAACAGGAGTGTAGATACCTCTTCAATATACAGATTTTATGTCCTTTGGATATGTACCTAGTAATGAGATTGCTAGATTAGATGATAGTTCTATTTTTAATATTCTGAGGAACCTCTGTACTGTTTTTCCATAGTGGCTGCACTATTTTGCATTCCCACCAATAGGTGGGAGGGCTATCTTGTGGTTTAATTTGCATTTCTCTGATAATTAATGATGTTGAGCATTTCTTCATATACCTGTTGGCTATTTGTATGTCTTCTTTTGAGAAATGTCTGTTTGGGTCCTTTGCCCAATTTAATCAGATTGTTTCCTTACTATTGATTTGTTTGAGTTCCTTGTATATTACAGATATTAGCCCCTTACCAGATGTATGGTTCACAGATGTAGTCTCCCATTCCATAGATTGACTCTTTACTTTGTTAATTGTTTCCTTTGCTTACAGAAGCTACTTAGTTTGATAAAATTCCATTTGTCCGTTTTTATTTTTGTTGCCTGTTCTTTTGGGGTTGTTACATCCAAAACCAATGTCATGGAGTTTTTCTCTTTTCTTTTAGAAGTTTTACAGTTTTAGGTCTGCATGTAAGTTTTTAATCCATTTTGAGTTGATTTTTACATATGGTGTGAGATGAAGGTCTAGTTTCATTCTTTTGCATATGGATATCTAGTTTTCCAAGCACCATTTATTGAAGAGACTGTGTTTTCCCTAATGTGTTCTCAGCATCTACCTTGAAAATCAATTGACCATAAATGCATGGATTATTTCTGGCCTCTCTGTTCTGTTCTTTTGGTCTATGTGTCTGTTTTTATGTGAGTACCATACTGTTTTGATTACTATAGCTTTGTAGTAGATTTTGAAATAAGGTATTGTGATGCCTCCAGCTTTGTTCTTTTTGCTCAAGATTGCTTTAGCTATTCAAGGTCCTTTGTGGATCCAGATGAATTTTAGGATGGAATTTTTTATTTCTGGGAAAAATGTCGTTGGAATTTAGATAGAGATTATATTGAATCTGTAGATTGCTTTTATAATATGGATATTTTAATAATATTAGTTCTTTGAATCCATGATCACAGGGTGTCTTTCCATTTAATTTGTGTATTCTTCAATTTATTTCATCAGTGTTTTATAGTTTTCAGCACATAGATTTTTCACCTCCTAAATATTCTTTTGTTTTGCTTAGCTATTGTAAATGGGATTGTTTTCTTAGTTTGTTTTACAGATAGACCACTGTTAGCATATAGAAACACTACTGATTTTTCTATGTTGATTTTCCTGCAACTTTATTAGATTTGTTTATTAGTTCTAACAGCTTTTGGTAGAGTCTCTTTAGGGTTTTTTTTTTTTATTTGACAGTTTATTATTTAATTGATAAATTGTTTTTACATTTGGGACCTGAACGTTTAAGGCACTGAAATTATATCTTAAATGGGAACGTTATTTCATGAAAAACTCTAAGATATATGTAGAAAACAAAATATTAAATTATTAGCTGTATATTAGGTAAAAAGATAAACATTTACCTTAAATAGCGTTAAGGTTTTGAATATATAAGATTATGTCATCTGCAGAGACAGTTTACTTCTTTTCTGATTTGGATGTCTTTTCTTTCTTTCTTTGGCCTAATTGCCCCGGCTAAAACTTCCAGTAGTATGTTGAATAGAAGTGGGGAGAGCGGGCATCCTTGTCTTGTTCTTAATTGTAGAGGAAGAGCTTTCAACTTTTCATCATTGAGTATAATGTTAGCTATGAACTTGTCGTATATGGCCTTTATTGTGTTGAGGTACAATCCTCATGTACCTAATTTGTTGAAGCTTTTTACATTGAATTTTGTCAAATGCCTTTTTCGAGATGATTATATGGTTTTTGTCCTTCATTCTGTTAATGTGGAGTATCACATTTACTGATTTGTGTATGTTGAATCATCCTTGCATCCCAGGGATAAATCCCACTTGATCATTATAAATGATCTTTTAATTATTTCTCTGTGTTTGATTTAACTGAGCTTCTGTAAAACAATTATTCAGAATTATTTATCCAGGTCTGCTACTGGTATTCTCGTGGTATTATGTCCTCTTCATTTTTCATGTTTCTTGTTGACTTACATTAATGCCTGTGCATTTTGTGGACCAGTCACCTCTTGCAGACTTTATAGGCTGGTTTCAATGTGGAAAGACTTTCCTCTGTAGGGGAAGGAGGGTGTGAGGGTTCTTGCTGGGTGGGATATAGCAGTTCTGGGACTACTAAGGATACCAGCTATGTATTCCCTGTGCAGATGAGCCCACCAAGGGCAGTGTTGGCAAAGATTCCAGTGCTCCTCAGTGGCTAATGCTGTAGATACCTACAGTGGCAGTGAGGCATGTTGGGGTCTTTGGGTATGGCTGCCAAGGTCATCCTGATTTTTCTCTCATTGCAGAAGTTGAATGCATCTTGGCACTGGTTCTGACTCATAGGCTTACTTGCACCAGCAGTGGCACTTGTAGAGTGGCTGTGGAGCTGAGGACTGAAGCACAAGCAGGAGTGGAAAGACTATGGCTGCAGAATCTGGGGCAGTTTAAAAACCCAGGGCTTAGAGCAAAGATACTTTGCTACTGTATTGATAACAGAATGTGAGGTACCAGATGCTTGTGAAGTAGCTTTTAGAGCCAAGAAAAGGAGCAGAAACATGCATAGAGTTAGAGCAGCTCCTGAGTTGGGGTGGGTTCTAGCTCTCCGTTGCAGCTGATCCAGGACCTGGAGATGGGGCATGCACAATAAAGGCGTGGCTCTGGGGCCTGGAGCATGAACTAGCTCACTATAGCAATGGTTCCAATGTCAGAGGTAGGCCCAGTGCAGCCACAGAGCCCGGGGCTGCAGTGTGGACACTAGCAGAGCAGCTGTGGCTTCAGGATCAGGGCTCACTGGGGCATGGGAGAGCTGGCAGAGCTTTTCCCAAAGTAATTCAAAAGTAGCTGCTTCTTGGATGGTGGTGAGTGTTCAGATGCATCTCCCTCTCTGGGGTTCCCCAGCAAAAGGGTTGTTGTTTACCTTAGTGGCCAGTGATGCCAGTGTCCTCTACAGAGCAGACCTCTGGAAACTATGGTAGTTCCTGCCACATGAACAATACCAATAGCATCTGCCTTTCTTCTTTTCTCCTAGCTATCTCCTTGTGCTTCAGGTATGTAGACCTCACAGGTGATCCTGTCCTATGTAGATATTCTTAGTTTCTTTTGCTCCGTTGTGTTGCTGCAGATTCTTCAATGGGCCCTGGAGCTCTCTGGGCTCTTTGGGTTTGTGAACAGCTGTCTGTATTTGTTTTTTAGTTGGGGTTGAATAAAGGCTGGTGTCTCCTACTTTGCCATCTTGGTGACCTCACCTCCCATTATATCCCATTCTGATTAAGATTCCTATATTGAATGTTCTCCACGAATACATTTCAAATAAATTCTAAAAAGTCTGCCACTGTGTAGAGAAATAGTTGAAGGGAAAAATACTAGCTTCTGTTATTGACACATGAGTAAAATATGTTTTTTTTTTTAATTTAGATAATCATGTTAGGAGTTTGCATAGTAAGCAAAATCAAATTTTTGAACAATGCTTACAAGAGATTAATATCTCTTGTCCCTCAAAGATTGAAAAGTTAATGTGAATATCCTTTGTCCTATTGCATTCTGCCTCCAAATTCTCCATCTCTATCATATAAAATAGAGGAAAATTGGCCGGGCGCAGTGGCTCACGCCTGTAATCCCAGCACTTTGGGAGGCTGAGGTGGGCGGATCACGAGGTCAGCAGTTCGAGACCAGCCTGACCAACATGGTGAAACCCTGTCTCTACTAAAAATACAAAATTTAGCTGGGTGTGGTGGTGGGTGCCTGTAATCCCAGCTACTTGGGAAGCTGAGGCAGGAGAATCACTTGAACTTGGGAGGCAGAGGTTGCAGTGAGCCAAGATCTCGCTGCTGCACTCCAGCCTGGGCAACAGAGGGAGACTCCATCTCAAAAAAAAAAAAAAAAAATAGAGGAAAATTCCACTGACTCTTTTCATTGTGACATCCAAATTGTCCTACTGCGATAAATATTTTGCTATGATTATTTAATAAAAATTTATCTCCTATGCCGTAAATGTAGAACTAGGATTGATAATCTATATTTTACCAAAACTCATGAACCTGCAGAAAAACAAAACATTGGTTTTTAAAACATTTTGGAAATGTTAAAAACTGTTTTTTGAATAAATAAAATGTATTTAACTTAAACTGAACAGGACTGTTTTAGTGGGATGAGCATCCTCCCAGGCTTCTTTCCCAGTCACACATTTATTAGGAAATAAATCATAGTTCTAGTTCCTTCTATTGATTCTCACCATTCCATGCAGTGTAAGTTCTCTCTCGGCTTCCTAAAATGAGATATATCATAGTCACCGTATTCCAAGAGAACGACAGTTTCTAGCTGGGGAGGACAGATTTAGAAGTAGTGTGGTGGTGAATGATGATCTGGTGATTATCCAGCCATGTTCGGGTCTCCCCGTTCTTTGACATTTCATCCCAGACTAGTGACACTTAGGGGTGGCATTTATTTATGAAACAAACCAAGGAAGCTTCATGCAGAAATCCAGATGTCCCACTGCTTGGAGGACAAAGACCTCTATCCCTGGCAAAACAACTTTGAAATTTATTTGGTTGGGCTGCTTTCATAAATTCTAAGAGGCATGCAACTCTGATGCCCCTCATTTTCTGGAACGCTTAACCAAGTCAAGTTTATTGTTGACTGTAGACACAACTTGGGACAGTTCATAAAAGGGGAATAGGTAATAAGCAGACAGCTAAGCTTTCAGAACCAGAACATCCTTCTCATGGGCCAAATGAAGCCCCAGCTACAACAGGGGATGAGATTTAAATGTCTGTGATAAAACAAAAATAGCACCAAACTAACACCAGGCATGACTGACATTGCAGGAAACTCCCCTTGGAGTTGGACTCACAATCACGAAGAATTGATGAAAAGCCAAATTGACTCAAAAAAGTCTATTCTGAAAGAGAGACAAAAAAAGCTGACAGGTGGATATTTATCCACTCTAAAAATTAACTCTGTATACCATACAAACTACCCAATAAGGGTGAATTTAGCATACACTTAGTGAGTACTCAGCATGTGCCAGGCACTTTCTTTTCTTCAGTTTTGACAGCGTCTACTTGAGCCATCAGGGGGCCAGTGGCCAGGTCTGTTTCTCCAGCTCATTTGTCTCCTCTGAGTCTCAAACCTTCTAGAATTATCCTCTTTGATGTACTTTAGATCTTCCACCAACAGAAGTCAAAACTGACCTTTAACTTTTCTTCGAAAGTGATTCCTTCCACTGTATTCTCTATTTGCCTGTGAATGAATCTTAGGGGGCATGTAGAGTTGTTCTCTGTCTGTCCCCCTTACCAAGCCCTGGTGATTCTGCCTCACACGTAGCTCTTCAATCCCTCCCTTTCTATACTTAGTGCAGCTCCTCAAATCTCTCCCATGAATAGTAAATAGCCTCCTACTTGGCTCTTTGCCATCAGGTTCAACCCCCTTCAGCCCACCCTCCACTCACCACCGGTGTCATTCACCTGAAAATTAAATCTGATGTCACTTACCTGCTTAAAACTTTTTTATGGTTGTCATCTCAAGGGTAAAATTCAAAGTTCTCTTAAAAAGAATCATAATATTAATAATAGCTAACATTTATTAAGTGCTTACAGTGTACCAGGCATAAATCTAAATCCTTTATATAGATTAACTTCTTATTTTCACAACACACTAAGAGGTAAGGACTATATCTTCATCTAATTTTTTTTTTTTTTGAGACGGATTTTCACTCTTGTTGCCCAGGCTGGAGTGCAATGGTAGGGTCTCAGCTCGCTGCAACCTCTGCCTCCCGGATTCAAACAATTCTCCTGCCTCAGCCTTCCAAGTAGCTGGGATTATAGGCACGCACCACCACACCTGGCTAATTTTTGTAGTTTTAGTAGAGACAGGGTTTCACCATGTTGGCCAGGCTGGTCTCGAACTCCGCCCGCCTTGGCTTCCGCCCGCCTCGGCCTCCCGAAGTGCTGGGATGACAGGGGTGAGCCACCACGCCTGGCCTATATCCTCGTCTTAAAGTGAAGAAACTGAAGCAAGTTTTCTCTCAGTGAATGCTGCATTCCAGTTTTTGTAAACTACTTGCTATACTGCAATACACCATGATTTATCATACTGCATTTGCTTTTCTCTTTGCCCTGGATACCATTCCCACTTAATTAACCACTCCTTCGAGACGGGACAACACAGTGCCACTCTGGCCCTGTCCATCCCAGAAAACTAATTGCTCCTTCTTTTTGTTGCCATAATCTTACACGTGTATACATAACTCTTCAGGTTTGTTCATGTCTAGAGTACATGTACTGTGTCTAATTTCATATGGATTTGCAAAGATTCAGAATGTTTAGTGGTATATTAGTCTGTTCTCACACTGCTATAAAGATATACCTGAGACTAGGTAATTTATAAAGAAAAGAGGTTTAATTGACACACAGTTCTGCAGGCTGTACAGGAAGCTTGGCAGCTTCTGCTTCTAAGAAAGCTCGGGAAGCTTCCAATTATAGTGGAAGGCAAAGGGGGAACGAGGCATCTCACATGGTGGGAGCAGGAGCAAGAGAGAGAAGCGGGAAGATGCTACAATTTTCACCAACCAGTTGTCACGAGAACTCACAATCACAAGGACGGTATGGGCGTGGGGGTGGAGGGTGGGCTGGTGCTAAGTCATTCATGAAGGATCCATCCCCATGAACAAGTCACCATCCACCAGGCCCCATCTCCAACATTGGGGATTATAATTGGTCATGAAATTTGGTAGGGACACAGATCCAAACCATGTCAAGTGGCAATATTGTATGTTCTTTTATCTTGCTGCTTATAACAGCCTTTTTTAAACCCATGGACTTTTGCAACAACAATGCATTTAGGGGCATGTTCACCCTTCGATAGTTATCTTGTTGCCTAGAAAACATTTAATCTGAACACTAGGTATTTCTTTTTTGAATATAAAACATGGGTCAGCCACTATGGCTGACAGGCCTAATCCAACCCGTTTTAGTAAACCAAGTTGTATCAGAAGATAGCCACACTCATTTGTTTGTGTATTGTCTATGGTTCTCACTACAATAGCAGAGTCGAATAGTTGCCACAGAGACTGTATAGCCCAAAAAGCCCAAGATACTTACTATCTGGTCCTTTACAGAGAATATTTGCTGATGCATGATGTAGAAGATCAAGGGATTGAGTATTGTTTTAGTTCATTTAGTGTTGCTACAACAGAACACCCGAAGCTGGGTAATTTATCAAGAAAAGAGGTTTATTTGTTCACGATTCCGGTGGTTGGAAAATTCAGGCTTGGGCAGCTGCATCTGGTGAGGGTCTCATGCTACTTCAACTCATGATGGGAAGCAGAAGGGAGATGCACATGTGCAAAGAGATCGTCACATGGCGAGACAGGAAGCAAGAGAGAGACCAAGGAAGCCAGACTCTTTAACAAACTACTCTTGTGGGAACGAATACACTTCTGTGAGAGCAAGAACTCACCCCCTCACCTCCATAGGAGGCCATTAATGTATTAACAACCCAAACTCCTCCCAGTAGGCCCTGCCTCCTAGCATTGCCACATTGGGCATCAAATTCTGACATGAATTTTGGCAAAGACAAACCACATGCAAATCACTGCAAGTGTCTACCAATTTGGTCACATATATTCATGCAAGCATTCATTCATCAATTAAAGCCTTAAAAGCTAGGTATTTATCAGTTATCACAATGTCAACATATTTTATTGCTCTATAGCTGCTTTTTCTTAAAGTGAACCAACTGGGGTCGGGTGCAGTGGCTCATGCCTGTATTATCAGCACTTTGGGAGACCAAGGCAGGCAGATCGCTTGAGATCAAGAGTTCAAGACCAGTCTGGCCAACATGGTGAAACCCCATCCCTACTAAAAGTACAGAAATTAGCCAGGTGTGGTGGCGGGCACCTGTAATACCAGCTGCTCAGGAGGCTGAGGCAGGAGAATCGCTTGAACCCTGGAGGCGGAGGTTGCAGTGAGCCGAGATTGCGCCACTGCACTCCATCCTTGGTGACAGAGTGAGACTCCATCTCAAAAAAATGTATTTTTTAAATTTAAAAAATTAACCAACTGGGGAAAATACCCAATCCATTTGGGGTTATAGTGACATGGTTCTATTACAGTTATAACAGGATCAATAAAATCACCTGCAAAAATGTGTTTTATTAAACAGAGCTTTTGTTTCTCATGATGGTTTCTGAAATGAGAATTTTTTTCCCTACATTTACCAACAGAATGATTCTAATAGAGATTGTAGGCCAGGCACAGTGGCTCATACTTGTAATTCCAACATTTTGGGAGGCTGAAGTGGGAGGATCTCTTGAGGCCAGGAGTTTGAGACCAGCCCAGGCAACAGAATGAGACTCCATCTAAACAAAAAAATAACAAAAATTAGCCAGGTATGGTGGCATGTACCTGTAGTCCTAGCTACTCAGGAAGCTGAGATGAGAGGATCACTTGAACCCAGGAAGGTGAAGCTGCAACGAGCCAAGATTGCACCACTGCACCCTAGCCTGAATGACAGAGCAAGACCCCATCACAAAAAAAAAAAAAAAAAAAAAAAAAAGATTATTATAGGGAAAGAAGTATCAGTGTCCAGCCAGGCTCTCATAAACTCTGTGATTCAATTTCTTCTCCCGTTAGCAGATTAGAATACATTATCTCAGCATATATGATCTTCCAGCTCAGGGATATCAGGTTTTGTACAACACTTTTTACTTAAATATACATGACATTTTAATCCTTGGCAGATGACATATTAGAGTCATTAACTTGCATTTGTTGTTTAATTAAATGCCAGGTCCTATTGAAATGAATTTGCTATATGTAAGCCATATTTCATGTGTCTAATATAGGCTGTTTATGATATGACATTTGTATTTTTATAAATATATATATATATTTTTTTATCTTTTTTTACAGAATTATGTTAGAGTTGTGGAGGTTTGGTGGGATGAATATAAAGACTACTTCTATGCTAGTCGTCCTGAATCACAGGCATTACCATATGGGGATATATCGGAGCTGAAAAAATTTCGAGAAGATCACAACTGCAAAAGTTTTAAGTGGTTCATGGAAGAAATAGCTTATGATATCACCTCACACTACCCTTTGCCACCCAAAAATGTTGACTGGGGAGAAGTAAGTAGTCACATCTCAAAGTGTATGTGTTTGTAGACTGAGTTTGGGAGAAGGCAGAGAGAGGTGGAAATATGTGAGTAAGAGAGAAGTATTCTTGGGAAAAAGTTGGGGTAAAAACTGTCTGATAGCATTTACCACCTTTCCACTAAACAGCTACAGCTGCTAGACCCGCTAGCCACCATACTGTCTCCTGGCAGCCTTTGCACATTGGCCCCCTAGCCTGCAACACGTCGACTCTTCACTCCAGCTCCTGGTGCCTCCATGCCCCTTACTCCAACTCCCTTCCTTAACTAATTTCAGTTTATCCTACTGCTCTCAACTTAGAGATCACCAATACTGAAAAGCCCTTCTTACTATTCCCCACTTCATCAAAAAGATGCAGTTCTGTGCTCTTTCCAGGGGTTCTCACAACACCCAAAATCAACCATCTCCCAACCAGTCCGAGTACTTCAGGACCTTGATCACCACTGTGTCCGGGTGGACTGACGCAGGGAACCATATACAATAGACACTCCAACAATGCTTTTCAAATGAATTAAAAATAATTAAAATCAGACAAAAGCATTTTGGCAATCAGACATTGTCATTTCTTTGTTTATTCAAACTTGTCTTCAGACTCACTTCTGATTGCACCCCTCAGCCCCACTGTATTCCTCACAGGTACACTAAACCTTCCATGAACGTTCAAGTCTACATCCTCTGCTTAATTATGTTCAGCAAATATTGTTTGAGGGCCTACTATGTGCCAGTCACTCTTATAGATAGAAAACAAGAGAAGCAAAGTCCTTTTTCTCAGGGAACTGGCATGCTACCTGGGGAGAGAGACCAAAAAAGTCTGAGAAAACAAAAATGATAATGACAGATGGTGATAAATGATAATGACACGTAATACTGTCAAGAGGACTTAAGGACAGGATAAGGAAAGCCTCTCAGAGGAGGTGACATTCGTTCTGAGATCCGAATGATAAAGAGTCAGCCAATCAGAGAGTGGAGATGAAGAGAAGCAGACCAACTGCGGAAGCATAGTTCATCTGGAGGCGGATCCCTTATGGGTTGGTGTGTGAAGGGATAAGGGCCAGAATGACATCGAGGTGGTGGTGGTGTTTTTTTTTTTTTCTTTTTTTGAGTAGCTGATTAGGTGACTGCTGAGATTGGAAGACAGTAGGGGAGTGAATGGAGCGGGCAAGGCTTCTGTTGGTGTTCTGGGCATGTGAAGTACCTGCTAGGCGCCCAGGTGGAGCCATTAAGGCCTACTGATCATAGATTGTAGGTTGCACGATGCCAAAGTCCAGAAAAGAGGCCACTCTGGAGATGTGCATTTGGGGCCATCAGCAGGTAGGTCATTTCATGGGACTGAATGAGGTCACTGAGGGAGAAAATACAGATAGACAAGAGAAGACTAGACCCATCCCTCAGAAAGTTCAGGAATAGAAGGAAAAACCAACAGAGGACACTCATATTGCTCTCTCTGTACTTCTTGCTTTAATATACTTTTTCCCTATACTCTTATTTTACCTGTCGTATTACAGCAGATTATGTTTAACTCCCAACTAGACCATAAACCCTTCAACACACAAATCTCTCTGAGGGCCCAGACAAGTTTATCCAACTGCATGCTTAACTGGCACTTGATTGTCTGACAGGCATGTCACACTCGACATAGCCAAAATTGAACTTCCCATCTCCTCCCCGCAACTCATCTTTGCTGATTTCAAAACTTTGGAGTCTTCCATGAATCCTGTGTTGTTTGTCTCGCACTTCATATCTAGTTCCAGAATCTGTCCCTTCTTGCCTGGTGTAAGCCACCATCATCTCTCACTGAGACTAACTTGTTGGCTCTCCTACAGCCTATTTCAAATACAGCAGTCAGAGTGACTGTTTTGAAACGAAGGCAAGTCATGTCCCTCCTCTGCTACAAACCCTGCACCTTCACCTCAAAGTGAAGACAGAGTCCTTTCTGGTGGTCTCCAAGATCCACGACATCTGTCCCCGTTCCTCTCTCGCCTGACCTGCTACTGCTCTCCCCACTCCACTCCAGCCCCACGTCCTTACTGGTCCTCAGACTCCCTCCAGGCATGTGCCTGCCCGTGCTGTTCCCTCTCCCTGGAATGCTTCCCTGCAGATACCCGCATGCATGGCCAGCTCTCACATCTCCTTCAAGTCTGCTGACCTACCACTTCTCAGTGAGGTCCCTCTTGTTACTTCCCAACGCCCTAGCGCCCACCCTAACTTCCTCTTCTTGTCCTTTTTTTCACCACACTTACCACCTTTCGCCACAACAGACAAATTGTCTACTATGTTTTTTAACTTACATTCTGTCTTTTTTCCCTTACATTCCCAGAGTGAATGGAGGCAGGGGCCCACATTCACTGCGGCATGCCCATTACTGAGGTAGGGGGTCTTCATTTAGTTCACTAGTGTTTCAGAGCCTACAACATGCCTGGCACACATCAGGTACTCAATATTTGGTGAGTGAATAAATACATGAAGGAATGAATGGAATTTTCTGTCCTCCTTTTACTGTCTCACTCCCAAGTATATCTTCAGTTTAACCTGACATCTGCACTTTATACTTCATTGCTCGGCAGTTCCTTAACATTCCAGGGTAAACCCCTACCTGTTTTAAAGGCGTCTCTTGGGGCAGTCTTTGGAGCTCCTCCAGGCAGGGTGAGCAGCTCTTCCTCTGCACATTCATGCCTCTGTCCTGACTGGCCACTACCCCTCTGTCTGTCTATAGGCGGTGAGGACCATGACTTGCTCCTCTTCGTATCCTCAAAACCTCTTATCGTCATAGGTGCACAGTCAGTATTTGCTGACTGAATGCAAGAATAAAACATTTTATCCAAATACTGTAGTGATTTATAATTCAGAGAAATACATGGTTTTTCCAAAAATAGTTATTTTCATACAAAATGTACATTCCAAAGATGGAAACCTGTGTTTGCTTTTCATCTATGTTGATAGAGAAAAGCCTCACTGCCCGAGCCTGTGCCATGCATGACCTGTGCACCCTAGGCCCCTCGAGGCAGCTACCAAAAGTGCTGCACAGCCATTTGGGAGAGGTCTCTTCCAAATCCAGTCTCTCTCGATATCTAGGGCCAGTGTCTGTTACCACTGTGGTTAGGTAGCTTTCCTCTATTTGCTTCTCATTCACATGAATTACTGTGATTCTGAAATTGTATTTAATGGTAACTGGTTTTTTTCTCTATGGTATTTTATGGAAATTTATAGTCCTTTGCTCTTAGAGAAAGAACCCGTTCCAGTGTTGACTTCAAGACCATAAATGATTTCAAAACTATGTAAAGATTGACAATACAGTAATAACCTGTCACTATGCATACCCAGATTTTCCCTGTAAACTGTAATATTTACCTTGAAATGTTAAATTCTGATGCCAGAGTTCATTAGAAACTAAACTGTTGCCTGCTTTTTGCATCTTTGTTCATTTTCTTAGATCAGAGGCTTTGAAACTGCTTACTGCATTGATAGCATGGGAAAAACAAATGGAGGCTTTGTTGAACTAGGACCCTGCCACAGGATGGGAGGGAATCAGGTAAACCACCTTACTTTTGTGTTTAAATTGTTCCGCATTGAGGGCCATCAGGTTTATTGATCACAGAATGATCTTTGTACTTTGGTTTTCGATTTGGTAATTTTGTTTGTTTTGATAAAGTAAAACATTCTGTAAAAAAATTGACAGTGTTAAAACATTCACTTAGATGATGGGAATAATGGCAGTATTGGTTTTCACGTAAGCAGTCAGGATCTAGAATTAATGTCTAATACAAGAGATTAAAATATATTCCTGTGGGAGTATATGTCACTACCATAACTATGTAAGCCTAGCTCCCTAACAATTTTTTGCAAATATTGTTCACTAATCCTCATCTTTTTGCCAATAGAGTGTTACTGCCAGTAATGTGTATTTCACTCATATATTCTCTTACTTATGTGGGTATGTTTTTGCCTTTTCATTTTCTCACATTGTTGGTACTTAATAAATTTGTGTTAGTGACCCATTTGGTATCTTAGAGAGTACAGAACTTAATGATTTCAGTGTTAATAAGGCTCGTTATTAACATCAAAATAAATGTAACTTGTCTGTGGACTTACAGTTCTAAACAGAAAAATTATGGAAAAATAAGTTAGTCATTCAATTTAATGATAGGAGTTCAGTTTCTTTCTTTTCAAATGTACATCAGCAGGGAAGATGCCTCTGTTACTTATTTCCATCTTTTCCTTTTACAGCTTTTCAGAATCAACGAAGCAAATCAACTCATGCAGTATGACCAGTGTTTGACCAAGGGGGCTGATGGATCAAAAGTTATGATTACACATTGTAATCTAAATGAATTTAAGGAATGGCAGTACTTCAAGGTATTCTGCATTTGAACTTCTGAAATATTATATGCTATTTCATTTTCAATAACATCTAGCATGTGGAATTTCAATAAATAAATCTGAAAACCTGCATTCAAATTCACTTCCATTTTCCTCTCATTTAGTCACTTGCATAGGTTTTCCTGAGCACTGGATGACTCATTGTTCTATAATGAGGCATCACTTTTGTTCTCTCGTACAATATTGTCATGTAATGAGGCCACGATGATGTCTATGACGAGCACTGCTAATTTTAGTAATACAAGCAAGTCAGTGTTCTATGAGGCAGTCATCACCATTGCTCACATCAAAATCTGATTTTTGAAATTTAAGTGAATCATTCATTAAAGTAAAATATGTTTATACTATTAAAAAATTTGGTTAATATTTGATATTGTCCAGCAGGTGGAGATAGAGACAAACAAAGAAAACTTAAAATCTAGGCTTTCATTTTTATCATTGTTGTGTGCTAAATACAGTGGGATAAATGTAGCTAGTTGCTTGCTTTAATGGTCAAATTTAGTTATTCACGTGACACTGCTGGGGCAGCTTTGTGTTTCAGCTGTGAGTATTAAAGCTCTGTGGCAAGTTGAGGATTACAACATATTAGTAGATTTATGTATAGTTTTTCAAATTCTAGATTTGGCTAACATAAATCAATTTATTATGAAACAAAAAGTGGGGAAAGCTGCCTCACACTAAAAAATCTGTCAACCCTCCATTTTATTTACTCACCTAGTATTTGTTATCATATCCCATCTGTCATGCAAGCAAGCACTTGTTTGCTATGTAATAATGATATGACTTAGCTTAACATTCCCTGTTATTGTCATTTACAAGAAGTGATAAGCATGTATCACCTGATGATTTTGTTTCTTACAAGTTAGGAAGGAGAAGAATAGCATAAACCTTAAAGACTGGAGTATTTATTTTCACAAAGAAAAATGAAATATAATAGCAATAAATAGTAGGGGTCAATGAGAACAATATTAGCAAAATAGTAAAAGAAGGCTAACACACCAGAAACTACATCAAGAAGGAATTGACCAAAAAATGACACATAACATGTTTTAGGTATTTTAAAGGACACAGCACTGAATATACATTTGTGTGTTAGATATTACTAAATATTCACTTGGGGACCAATGATGTGTTAGACTGTAGGGGAGTTCAAAAATGTAGCTAAAGCACACTATTATATAATGGCAGAGAAGAAAGAAATGCAAAAATAGAGATAAGCAAAATGCCATAGGACAGAAAAGAGTGATTCATGGGAGGAATTACTGCTGAGGAGTTTCATAGAGGAAGTGTCATTGCACAAGTCCTGAAGTGTAAAAAGGCTTTCCATGGAAAGTAAATAAGAAAGACTGGATGAGCAAAGACGTGGCATGAAAACATGTAGAAAATTCAAAGAATTGCATTTCATTTGGTATTCCTAAATTGTGCTTGGAGGAAAAAGTACCAAACTTCATATTTTAAGTTTTGGAGAGGGACTGACCTTCTTTGAGAAAGGTAGTGATGGGAAACAATGGCTACTTTTAGGAAAATAATCTGGAAATGTAAGGTATGGACTGATGAAGCAACAAGATCAGCTTGAGCAGCAGTTCTCAAACTTTGTCTTCTGGATTCCCTTTACACTCTTAAAAATTATTGATCTCCCCCACCCCCAAATTGCTTTTGTTTATATAGGTTATCACTAACAATATTTCCAGAATTGGAAATTGAGAAATTTGTAAAATTTTTATATATTAATTCATCTAAAAGTAACAATAATATACCTACTAAACACTAATTTAAATGACATTTTTAGTGAAAAATAACTGTTTACCCACAAAAAATAGTGAGAAGAATGAAATTCTGTATTTTTGCAAATCCCTTTAATGTATGGTTTAATAGAAGACAGCTGGATTCGGATTCTCATACTCCTGCTTCATTCGGTCTGATCCGATATGTTGCTTTCATTCAATATATGAGGAAAACCCAGCCCCACACAAGCATACAGTTCGTAAAGAGAGGGAGTAATTTAATAGCCTTTCATATAATTGTGGCTATTTTTTTATTGCACACCACAACTTAATAAGTAGTAGTTTCTTAAAACTTATTTGCAATGTAGACTGGTATCCTTGAGCATTGTACCTCATTATATGGAAGTACTTGATACGTACTTCCCACTTCATCTCATAGAATTTTTTTTTAAGTATATCAGGGGTCAAGATTGAATAAAATTAATGTTTTACTGCTTCATCAGTGACATCCTTAAGTGAAACCGGCATTTACTTTTTAACTGTGTGTGGCAATGAACAATACAACTACAGGTACTAGCATAGTTTGATTCATGCTAAGGCACCATCAGTTTTACTCACCATTGCTTTCGCACCATCAGTATAAATGTCGCTAAAGTGAAAAGGCAATGGAGTCTTTGTATTATTATGAAAATAGTTTTGGCCTTACAGACCCAATCCTGGATAGTCTGAGGACCAGACTTTGAGAAGCTCTGAGCTATATTGAAGAAACCTACAACATATGGTGAGGGCCAAACCAGGGCATCTGCAGTGGTGATGGGAAGGAATATAAACCAGAGACATTGCACATATTCATCCTTAGTGACTGGTGTAATGTGAATGAATGAGGGAAAGTGCAGTATTTCCTAAGGACTAGAAAGCTGGGATTGTCATTAGCCAGGATAGAAACAAGAGACATAGATTTGGAGGGGCAGATAATGAATTTAGGTTTGTACACATTGAATGTGAGATACCAGCAGTATATTGTGACTTAACAATGAAAGATCTTAGGACTTGCAAAACTGACAATCAAGAGAAATCCAAAGTCTGAGGTGTGGTTGATAAGCTTGTCCATTTGCTTAAACTGTTTCCTTATGAAAGCCAAGTGATGATTTCTGATGTCAGTGCTATCAAGAGTCCAAATTTGAAACTTTTTTCTTACTGTGTTTTCCAGAACCTGCACAGATTTACTCATATTCCTTCAGGAAAGTGCTTAGATCGCTCAGAGGTCCTGCATCAAGTATTCATCTCCAATTGTGACTCCAGTAAAACGACTCAAAAATGGGAAATGAATAACATCCATAGTGTTTAGAGAGAATAAAAGAAACCAATAACCTACCTACTGACAAGTAAATTTATACAGGACTGAAAACCGCCTGAAACCTGCTGCAACTATTGTTATTAACTCTGTACAGCTCCAAACCTGGAACCTCCTGATCAGTTTGAAGGACATTGATAAACTGTGATTTTACAATAACATTATCATCTGCAGTTACTGTTTACAAGACTGCTTTTACCTTAAACTTTGTAGATGTTTACATCTTTTTGTTTTGTTTTAAGATGATGTTGGTAATTTGTGCCTTTAGCTCTGTTTTATTAGACAGAGTTAAAGCATGTTGTCTTCTTTGGGATTACACTCAGGGGTCTGAAAGGCAGTTTGATTTTTACTTTTAACACACTTGAAAAAAGGTTGGAGTAGCCAGACTTTCATATATAACTTGGTGATTATCAACCTGTTGTGTCTTTATTTAATTTTACATCTTTTTGAAGCACTGCCACAGGTTATTAGCCAAGGTGGCCTTCCTTCACAGTCATGCTGCTTTTTTGAAAGGTGAATTTCAACACATTTAGTGCCTCTTTCATTTCTCAGTATATATTTCAAGAGCTTGTGATGAAATTTATAGAATGGTAATGATGGACTTGTCACCTGTATGGGGAATACTTTTACTACTCAGAAATGAATTTATGTGCTGCCATTTGCTATAAAGTTGAATGTTGTATGGCTTGAAAAAGAAATGACAATATGGAACATCCCAAGGCTATCCCATAGGGTTGGAAGTTGTATAGTATTCACTCCCTTACCTACTGGCATTCCCAGTGCCCTCTGTCCATACCTACTTCTAGGATTGCAAAGGAGTCTTCCAACTAGAGAAAAATTGTCCACTGACATTTGGGATTTACTTTTCTCTGTCACCCTCCCTTTTCTCTAATACCTGTCACTATAGAGAACTATTATCAGTTGTTATTGTTATCCCTTGAAAGGGAGGGTGACAACAACAAAAAAACACTGCTATAAACACGTCAAAGGTTCATTCTGACTGAGGTAAGACTTTCCAAGCCCTTGTTAGATTAGGCCTTATAAAACTTGTGTGCATTATAACCTAAGCTGTGCAACCTGTGAAGCCAAGAGTGAATTGATGTTTCATTTATATTTTCATCCAAATGACATTATCTGCATGTTTTTAAAATTTAAAAACAAAGGACTATTTACAAATACAGTTTATTAACAAATGTGAACTACTTTCTGTTAGATTAGGTGTTCCCTAGTGTTTCTTAATTTCTTTTTAGGAAGTGTATTTTTATTAATGTTTTTCCAGTGAACAGAAGATTTATTTGGATTTAAATATTTACTAAGGCAGTCCCTTTTACGAAAACCAAATATTGCAAATGGTCAATTCGATTTTAATTTCTCAAAAGACACTCTGTTGTTACCCAAAAGATTAAAATGCCTACATTGAGTGCTTTAAAAAAAAAAACAAACAAAAAAACTGTGATGATGTGAGCAGAATGGCAAGTAAGTTAAGCATTTTTGATCCTGTAATCATAGTATCATTACAATGAAAGGAATTCACAAACTACTGCCAGAGGAAGTTTGTTTTTTAATTTAAGAGGGAAATATAACCTATGAATTTGTTTCTTCCAAGCTTAGCTCTTAAATTTGGAGAGTCAAAGTTAAACATCCTCAACAGTTTTATTTATAATTTTGAATTGTCAATTTGTATTTTGCTACTGATCTGTGATCAGCCATTTTAACTTTCATCTCTAGGGATGTTTAACATTTATAATTGCAAAATAAATCAACTATTAAAAAAACTTTAAGAGAGAATTGGTACTTTAATTACTTGTGTGTTTGCAAATAGGCTCCATTTTCCATGTTGAGTAGATTATAACCTTATTAACTATGCATAGGCCTAAGAAAGGTGGCAATGAACTGTGCATGTAAATTTTAAATGGGTACTTTGTGCAATTCGTTAAAAGAAGATACTCTATGAATACGATTCTATATATTGAAATCAGAAAACTTACCAAACAAAAACATCAGAAGCTGCTGCCATAATGACTATTTTCTACTGTAGGCTGCTTTGGAAATAATTCCCATTTCCTTGCTTTGTAAGTTGATAATATCACTATGCATTTCTACACATTTTATAAATTTGATTTATGCAGATTTTGATACACTGTATGTTTCTGTAGAAATTGTATAAATATTCAAAATTTTATTAGGGTAAATTTGAGAAACTTATGTATATCTTAATTCTGGGTTGCTTGTTTTTTAGGTGACAAAAAATAAAATATTGTATTTTAATTCATGGGTTTTTTTTGGTGCTTGTAATCATTTCAAATCTAAACACTGCACATTTGAAAGAATTACTTGATTTTACTATTTACAAGACACACTTAATACCTAAAGTATTATAGACCACAGTTATTAGTTGAGTAAGTGCTTCAGTGTTGCTTAGCATTCTGTTACACATGCTTAGAATACTCAGAGCTTATGTATCTGTCGGAAGGAAACAAAGGTTTACTTTTACCTGTTAGCCTATGTATACCAATTTTTTAAGTGTATACTTTTTTAATTACAAAAATTACCCCATCAACATATATCCTTCTTGGCAGCATATGCTACTATAGAATTGCCTGTTAGAAGCAAAAATGCCTTTAAATCAAATTTGTTTACAACCTGACAGATCAGGTTAAGTGGAGAAAAATGAAAAGAAGGGAAGCCCATCACAATGAAATTAGAAATAGTCCACAGGACCTTGTGGTACAAAACACATTTCAAGAGAAGATACGGTTTGCTAACAGATTCAAGTAAGTGGCTGTGTTGATTTGGGAAACTTTCTCTCAACTGACCTGTCTATTGTCATATCTCTCAATTCTTAGCTGCTGTAGAGGTAGACTAAGAAATTTTAAAAAGTGACATAGCACCAGACTAGAATAAATGGGAGTTCCTTTATTTCTTAAGTTTCTCATAGGGATCTTGGAATATATTTCATTTCTGGACATAAAGTAATTGGGAAAAAAATCCCTATATAATTAAATGGAAAACATGACAAGTACTTCACCAGAGAGTCAGATATCTAACAGGTCAATAGTTTAGGTATGTGAAAATTATTCCATGTGAAAGCACTTTTTAAAACGTGTTGAGCATTATGAAACTGTGTTTTCAATCCTTGGATAGAACTAAGTGCATCTTGAAGAATATCTAAGATACTGTATCCTTTAAATTACCTTTAAATGAAATTTCTCTTGGGCTTTTGGTTTGAGCAAATAAAACAGCTGTATTAAGAATTACCCAAAACAAAACTAAAACTTTGAGTAGAAAATACGGATGAATAGACTTCCACTTCCGGCTATAATTGTAAGTAGACTTATCTTGCTACCCTAAACAACAGTTAATACTGGACAAAATATATGAAGCAACTGTTTTCAGGAATTGGATACTAGTCAAAGCAGACTGGTATCTAAAAGAAAGGAAATACACAAGGTGAACCCCAGGTTCACCACGTCTGTCTCCTTGGGAGGACATTCCCAAACATGGTGCAAGGAATGCAGCTCAGAATGGTGATACTGCTGAACTGAGGAGGCAGAGTGGAGGTTTCCGGCTGCTGAAACAGCTAGAATCTACAATCCAGGTTATTGGAGGGGAAGTACCCTTGAGTGTCAGGAGAGCTCTACAGGAATTTTCATATCAGTGCCATTTGCAATAGCAAAAACCCTGGCAGCAACCTAAATGCCCATCAACAGGAGACAGGATGAATTATGATATAATCACAATGGAGTATTACAGAGATGAATATGAATAAACTGTTATAAACAAGTTTTAGGTGTACAGGATTGAATGAAAAAGGCACTTCCCAAAACACTTTATTCATCACTGTTTACCAATATCAAAAGTGACTAAAAGTAAACATACAGTATGTTATACATTTATACATGATAGGTTAAATAACTTGTCCAAGTTCACAAATTTAGTACTGGGGTCAAGGACATAATCAAGTCCAGTACTCAATATCCCTCTAACTCTGTGGGATGAGTATTTATTTGGTGCCAGGAAAAACTCTCCTAAAGAATGTATGTTTTCCACATAACTTACTTAATTTTTCTCTCTACCTAGACTATCAAGAACCTCAGGGCTGGGAACAGCGGCTCACACCTGTAATCGCAGCACTTTGGGAGGCCAAGGGAGAGGATTGCTTGAGCCCAGGAGTTTAAGACCCGCCTGGGCAACCTAGCCATGTGTGGTGGCACACATCTGTGGTCCCAGCTGCTTGAAAGACAGGCAGAAGGATCACTTGAGTTCGGAAGCTGAAGGCTGCAGTCAGCTAGAAATGAATCTAATACTCCATCATGGTATCTGTATTAACCCATGTATATTGGCATGTATACTTTTAGCTAATATTTATCGAGCATTTGCTATTTCTTGCCACCAGGATAAGTGTCTTAAATGTATTACCTCATTTAATCACCAAAAACATTCAAATTCTACAGATGAGGAAACCGAAAGGTTACATGAGTTGTCTGATGTTACAAAACCAGTAAGAAAAACAGAGCCCTATTCAAGCTCGTGATTCACTACCTTGCTTTTAATTTCTTTCATAACCTTGTTTTTTTCTCTTTGTATATTTTGTTCTTGTTTTTCTTTGTATAAGCCATTAATCTTTCTTTTGGAAAAAACGTGGAGAATCAAAGAATTACACAAATATGAATGGATTATGGTATTTTACTATCTCTTACCTGCCCGAGGACAATGTCCAAGTTAATTGTCCCGCCTTTCTAATGAAAGACTAGATGATATAAAGGCCATTTCCAGTTCCAAAATTTAGTGCTACATAAGCTGAAAAGTTATTTTTCTTTCCTTTTAATGCGACAGTCTATTGCACTCCTGAGTCACTATTCTGTAGATGTGGCAACACCCAGGATGAGGATCACTAGAAGTCTGCACTGTTAACTCTTGAAGAATAAAGGCCCAGGAGCACAATGAAGTTCCATTGAAACATTTTTATTTACCTTTGCTGCAGGATAAGTTGAGTTTCCAATCAGGGCAAGGAGGGTTTCTGACCTATAAAAACAATGGTTAGCTGTAAAGTATATATAAACTTTTATTAACCTTGGACCTGACTCAAGTAAAAATTATTAAACTTTTATTTACCTATACTATTTAATTTATAGAAGTGGCAAACTAGTGACCTTTGGGCAGAATCTGACCTATAGACATGTTTTGACCCCAAAATTGGAATTCATTGCCAATACTGTATTTAAAATTCAGAATTCAACAGAGTTCTAGTTCTACTTGAAAATTTGAGAGATCTGGGAATCCTATATTCACATTTCCATCTAGCAATGGGACTGAGCTAAATGGTGGCTATCCCCTTTAACCTGGTTATTTGTACATTTACAAACATGCATAGAACACTGTTTCTTGCATTACAGACAAAGCAGTATACAAAAGTGAAAGTTTTACTGCTCTCACAGAGCTTACTTTCGAAATGTTCTTCACTTCACCACATCCAGTCCTTTTCCCTGGCTAGTCTCTATAGGTCTTGGCATGTCCTAATGTCAATACTCTGCCTTTCTCTAAAACTGTCAGTCTCCAACAGGAATCTCATGAAGAACTAATCCAAACATGGTGAGGTATGAAATTTCATTTTTAAAGGACTAGATCTTACACAGTGGCATAGCAGCTCCTTTAGCTTTCTTGATTTTATTCCCCAAGAAATAAAATCATTACTGCTTGGTAAAGCATTTTTAGTGATATATTTAGTAATAAAAATCCAGGTTTAAGATAATGCTATTTTTCTACTATTGTAAGACAATCTTACGATTTACAGTAAGTGAAACTGGTAAAAAATTTAAAAAAAAAAGCATACTTTCCTCTATTGATCAAGTTTGCAGTGAGTGCTTTGATATATAAGAGAATTTAGGAAATTCTAACCCAGTGCCCTGCTTTTATAGATTAAAAGACCAAAAGTAGTGGTTGACATTGGGAAGGAAACGTGAGCCCCTACTTCAGTCCTTGCACCAAAATTAATTCCAGAAGGATCAAAGGTTTAATCAAAAATTTAAAAAAAGAAAACAAAGGATAATTGTTTTTATAGTCTTGTAGATTTATGATCTTTGAGTGGGAAGGACCTCACTGGAAAAGTTTTCAGTGAAAGAATTGCTAAATTTGCCTACATAAAGAAATCTCTGCATGAAAAAAGCATCATAAACTCAAAAAGGTCATTTTCCTTAATATATGGTATTACCAAAAGCTATTAATAAAAAGACCAATGAGAAAAGACCACAGGAAATAATACAAATGGTTTTTTCTTCTTTCTTTTTTTTTGAAACAGAGTCTTGCTCTTGTCACCCAGGCTGGAGTGTAGTGGCGTGATCTCTACTCACTGCAACCTCCACCTCCCGGGTTCAAGCGATTTTCCTGCCTCAGCCTCCCAAGTGGCTGGGATTACAGGTGCCTGCCACTACACCCGGATAATGTTTTTGTATTTTAGTAGAGACAGGGTTTCACCATTTTGGCCAGGCTGGTTTCGAACTCCTGACCTCAAGTGATCCGCCTGCCTCAGCCTCCTAAAGTGCTGGGATTATAGGCATGAGCCACCGCGCTAGGCTCCACAAATGGCGCTTAAACATAAAAAAGGAGAAACAACTAAACTCAATAGAAAACATTTTATCTATATCAGAATAACAAAGACTAAGATGTTTGAGAACTATTACGTTGCTGAGATGAGGAAACAGGCACTCTAAAACATTTCATTGCTTAGCATAGTACAACTTCTATTGACAAGCAGTTTTGTTTAGCAGGCTCCGTTAACAAAGCACCAGAGCAGTTTCTGGCATATATTAAGTACAGGTTTTAGCTAGTATAATTAGCACATTTTTAAATGTGCATGTCTTTTGGCCCAGCTACTTCACTTGTAGGTCTTTTTTCACATGTGACATCACATGGTTTTGTTTTCAGACCAAGTTTTGGTTTGTTGCCCAGGCTGGAGTGCAGTGGCACAATCACAGCTTATAGCCTGGACATCCCAGGCTCAAGTGACCCACCTCAGCCTCCCAAATAGCTGGGACCACAGGCATGCACCACCATGCCCAACTGATTTTTGTATTTTTGGTAGAGACAAGGCCTATGTTGCCTAGACTAGTCTCAAACTCCAGGGCTCAAGTGATCTTCCCACCTCAGACTCCCAAAGTGCTGGGATTATAGGCGTGAGCCACCATACCCAGCAACGGTGTTCTTAAAAAATATTTATATAAAACAAAAACAAAACAAAAACCATAATTATCCTATTATCCTTAAGGAACTGGTTAAATTATGATCTATTCAATGGGATACTATACAGATAGCTATTTAAAGGAAAATGGCAGCTCTGTTACTGTCATACTGAAAACAATCTCCAAAATGGTAAGATGAAGAATATACTTGTATATAGGAAGCTTCTATGTAACACTGTAACATATACACACATATATTTTTTACACCTATGTCTTCCTTAAAGGATTATTGCATTGTTGGCGTTGCTTCCTGGGACAGGGTAGCAGAATCAAGAAAGGGTATAACTATTACATATCCTTTTACATTCTGAATTATTAAGATATGTTTTTAAAAAGAAAAAAGATTTCAGAAACACACCTCCAAGTTGTGGCTGGTGTGAGATCTAATTCTTGCCCTCGTTTCAGCGCTTTCCAATGTGTTCACTCCTTGAAGTCACCTGGTCTTGATTATTGAGAATTTTGAGATTGAATTTTGATCCACACTTACAAGAATATCAAACATGAGCCAGGAAGGACCCATCTCAAATCCTGAATTCATTCTGGAGGTACTCTTGATTAAAACAATAGTTGTTCTTAGCTTAGAAACTTAAATATATTTTATGGAAAAGAGAATGAAAGAAGTCACAGGCTCCAAGAAAGGTGACAAGGAACCCAACAAGTGTGCCTCTTGGATCTAATTAATATATTTAGAAATTCTTAAGGAAACAAACTATTACTCTATTTCGGTTTTAGAAACTCTTATCTGATATCCTTTATGCAATAGTTACTACTTTAAAATAACACTTCGACCATAAAAAACTGTTTAAGTACATAAAGTTCATACTGCTAGCATTTGGTAGAGCTAGGGAACTAGGTCCCAGACACAGGTATGTATCTAAAATAGATCACCCCAAATGTTTTAGCATATTAAGTCACCTAACACGGGGAAACACTGAAAATTAGTTTTCATCTTATGGTAAGTGAAAGCCCCAAGTCTGAATGTAAGATTTCTTATTTTTAGGTAGGCCAATTTATCAATTCTTTCATGGCTTTGGGAGGCCTCTCCCACTCAGAATATAATAGAGGGCAATCACAAAGATGACTGAAGATTTTACTTAAGTCCATTTGTTCTAATATCTCACTATTTAACAGAGGACTATCCTTATCAAATATGACATAAGACAACCAAAGCTCTCATGGTTGGGTAACAGAAATCTTGACTTCTATCTTAAAGTTTGGTAGGTAACCAAGACTGCCAAATTTAACTCTAAAATTGTCAACAAATAGCTTACTTCTATAAGCACGTAGCGAACCTGGTCAACCTTCGCTAATAATCTCTACTGAAAGTTATCTTAATTCAAATACAGCAACGGCTTCCTTAAACAAGCATTTTTAAAATAACTGCCTTCCCCATAAATAATACAATTCCTAGGTAAGTTTAAATTAGTCATGGAATATAACATCTCAAACGGTTTTAGTTACCCATAATTCTAAAGCTTAAGACCAAAATGAAGATACACAGTAGTCCTCCCTTACCATTGTTTCACTTTCCCACACTACAGTATTTTCAGAGACCGCATTCACATAACTTATTAGTTATAAATGTTCTCATTATTGCTGTTAATCTCTTACTGTGCCTAATTTATAAATTAATCAGTTATGTATAGGAAAAAACAAGGCTTCAGTACTCTTGGCACCTTCAGGCATCCACTGTGGGTCTTACACCCCACAGATAAGGAGGGACTACTGTAATTCAAAACCTAATCTGGTATTCTATCTTGAAATAGCTCAACTTAATAGCAGAAAACTTAATCTTGTTACTGAATTTTTTTTCAGTTTGTCCTTTTAGATATGAATTCACATTCTAGCTTTCTTCTTCACATTAAAGAGAATTTCTCACCCAAAATAAACTGTTGTTAAACAATATACTGGGCCAGGCGCAGTGGCTCACACCTGTTAATCCCAGCACTTTGGGAGGCTGAGGTGGGCGGATCATTTGAAGTCAGTTCAAGACCAGCCTCACCAACATGAGGCCACTAAAAATACAAAAAAGTTAGCTGGGCTTGGTGGCACATGCCTGTACCCCCAGCTACTAGGGAGGTTGAGACAGAAAAATCACTTGAACCTGGGACGCAGAGGTTGCAGTGAGCTGGGATTGTGCCACTGCATTCCAGCCTGGGTGACAGAGTGAGATTCCATCTCAAAAAAAAAAAAAAAAAATTCCTGAGGAACAAGTTAGCTAATGAACAAACAGAAATGTCAAGTATAAAACTTAATCGTTCTGTAAAACTGCATAAATTCTTACAAAGTTCACTGAATTCCACATATAACTTTTAAAGAACATTTTGCAAATATGAGCATGTTTGGTTTTCTTTTTAATCCTCAAACATTTTACTAGGTCAACTGTGTCTAAGAACTATTAGGCAGAAATACTGAAAAAAAATCAACACACCTCTGGTCTTCAAATGGCTTTTTTAAAGTGAAAATTAACTTAGCATATTAAGACAAAGACAATAGAAATAATATACATAATTTTATTACAAAATTTTTTTTAAAAAAACAAAATGCAACATCCTAAAAAACCCAAAATTTGCTATTGATACTAATTCCTACAAGTTTGCTGTGCTACCATACACAAAAAATTAAAAAAACCATTAAATATTTAGGAACATTCAACATCAGAAGCTGTAAAATCTAACTATGTAGTAGCCCGTCAAAAAGCTACAACCTGCAATTTTTTAAAAGTATTTTCTCTACAGAGAATCTTATCAGCTATACAAAAATCTGTACAGTTTTTATACTGAAGCTAATATTGAGCTGCACTTGAATTCACATTCTTAGCAAAACAATTGCCTGAGCACACACACACATTCCACACGCATCATTAAAGGATAGCCATTTATTCTTCATCTTCATCCTCTTCCTCCTCATCTTCATCTTCTTCCTCCTCCTCCTCCTCCTCATCTTCTGGTTCATTCTTCTTCTTTGAGCCTGTTGGCCTGCCAGGGCCCTTCTTTCCTGCTTCACTTTTGCCCTTGGCACGATATGCAGCAATATCCTGAAATATTGTTAAAAAAAAAAAATAAAGTAAGCATCCGGTGTCATTACTCAACTGTGAAAACCACTTACTTGTAAACAATCGAAGATGATTGACCAATAACCCTGATAACTGTCCAAAAGGTAGCCAGTCTAAGTGTTAAGAGCACTTATCCCTCTAGGCTTTAACAAGTTAATGGTGTAAAATGACAAGGGTTGCAATACAGCAGGATCAGTACTTTCACTAACAATACTCTTTTACCTCACACACAGTGCCATAGTCCCTGCTGTACCTTCATATTTTATATATATATACATAAAACAATTTATTTGACCCTCTGCTTTAAAAAAAAAAAAAAAAGACTACACAGTAACTACAAGTCTGTCTGCAGGAATATACTAGTGCTACAAACACTGGTTTCATTCAAAAGGAAGGTTTGATTACCTTGTGTTTAAGTGTACAATTTTCATTGGGCCTTTTCAAAACATAGCTGACAACCGTTAATTAATACAAGATTAACTAAATTTCCCAAGTTTTCTAGTTATTCCCTATACCTAGTCTTAATCACAGCTTTAAAAAAGTAAGATGACAATGTACCTTTTCATATTTCTCCTTTAGCTTAGCTGCTTTCTGTTCATATGGTTGTTTATCTTTGGCTGACTGCTCGGACCACATTTCACCCAATTTCTTTGCAGTATCCCCAATGGATAGGCCCGGGTGTTCACTTTTGATCTTTGGGCGATGTTCAGAGCAAAACAGGAAAAAGGCAGATCTGAAAGGAAGCAACAGAGCTTAATAAACTGAAGGAAAAATCCAAGGGGCAATTTGGTTTATTTTAAACTTACGGCGGCCTTTTAGGAGCATTGGGATCCTTTTTCTTCCCTTTCTTATCACCTTTGGGAGGAACGTAATTTTTCATCTCCCTATCATAGCGAGCTTTGTCACTTTTTGCCATATCTTCAAACTTCGACTTCTCCTTTGCAGACATGGTCTGTGGACATAAAAATAAGCGCCAAGAATACGGCAAAATTGTTACCTATAAACACCCAAAGACGAGAAGATCATCTTTAAGGAGCACATTTTCCTTAACTGCATTTTGCTTTCGAAGTCTTAATGTAAGTAAAAACCTAAAATCGTCTGCCTCAAACTCTTAAGATATTCAGGGGAGTCATCGGGGGTGGCAAAGTTGAAGCTCTCGAGTTGCCTACTACGTACCTGCCTAAGGCCCTCCTGGCCGAAAACCACACCTGCACCCCCTCTCCCGCCTCACCTTCCATCTCTCCGAACACTTCTTGGAGAATTCCGCGAAATTGACGGAAGAGTCCGGGTGTTTCTTCTTGTGCTCTTCCCGGCAGGTCTGCACGAAGAAGGCGTACGAGGACATTTTGCCCCGCGGCTTGTTGGGGTCTCCTTTACCCATGGTGACAGATCGGCGTCCACCTGACGGGGCGGAGGGGGGAGAGGGGAAGCCGGCGGGTCGGTGCGGAGCCCGCAGCTGCCAGGGCGGGCGCTGGCGGGGCTCCGCTTCCCGCCCAAATCCGCTCCCGCCCTGCCCGCGCCCCCCTCCTCCCGAGGGCGTCCTCCCGAGGGCGGCCGCCCGCGCCCCCGCCCCGGCGCACACCCTCCTCCTCCTCCTCCTCCTCCCAGCCCGAGCGGCCGCGGCTGACGACTCCTCACGCTCGCCCAGCAAGTGGCTCCCGGGGCCCGAGACGCCGCCTCCCGCCCTTCAACTAGTCCGGCGACTCCGCAAGCGCCCTCAAGACGCCTTTCCTGACAGAAATGTCCCCCGGCTTTCACGTCGCGAGCCTCACTCAATCGCTAATCACCTCGTGACCGACATTGAAAACTCCCAGAACCGGGCCCGGGCGGGGGCAGTTTCCGCCTCTTCCGACTGCCCGCCGGCCCTCTACAGCCCCGGCCCTCGCCGGCCCGCACCCCAAATGCCGCTCGCCGGGTCAGACACCGAGAGCCACAGCGCCGAGACCGAGTAGAGGCTCTGAGGGAATGGGGAAAGGCAGGTCCACGAACCCGAGGGTATTGGAGGGTATTCTTGCCTGGTGCGAGCTTTTCCTCAGGGTCCTGCAGAGCGGCCGACCCCAACAGAGACGCTTCCCTCACCAGGCTCCGGCGTGAACTGGTTTATCTCTAACGCAATCCTCAGCCTCTTGTTTTGCAGAGTTCTCCGCGCCACGGCAACTTGACGAGCTAGGCCACAGGCCACATCCCCACTTCTCTGATTGGTTCTGACGATTATTCAAACCCAGATAGTCCCCGCCCCCTTGCCACGGCGGCTAACGATTGGTCAGGGTCTTACCAGACCCGCCCTCCACGCCCCAGCCTAGCAGGTTCGGTGGGTCGCCCAGGTCGTTAACTCCCAGACCCGTTAGAACCGGTCAGGAGAGGAATGTACTGCTCGATCCTGATTGGCGGCGGGAAGAGGGTTTGAAAAATGGCGGGCCTCACGCTGACTGGCTGGGACTGTAAACGGTGGGAGTGGTTGGCTCGGGAGAGAAAGCCCCGCCAGATTTAAAAAAACCTAGTCGGGAGACAGGGGGTTGGTCTCCTGGCTTGGCGACGGCGGCGGCTCGGTTTGCTGGCGCTAAGGTAACAGCAGAGGTCCGCTTTGCCCTTCCTCCGACCACCATTTAGGTCCTGTCTGTCTCCCGCCTCGGCTCAGCCCTGCAGTGTTGGCTCCTGGGAGCTGTAGTCGCTCTGCTCTGTGGCCCTGCAGAGTCTCCCCTGAGCCGCCCAGAGAATAATAAATGGGGAGAGCCTGGAGTTTGCCCTGCAAAACCGATTGCCCAGCACCTCCCGCTGTTGCTGAGGATGGCGTAGAACTCGGGGAAGTCAAGGCAGGGAACCTCGGAAAGGGCGCGGGGGGCCGGGAGGGAGCCGTTGCCGCGTCCCGTGGGGTGTTACAAAACGTTCTGAAAGTAGGTGCTTCCCGCCGAGGGAGTTTCCCTCAGAAGGCCCCTCCTTCCTTCCCTCTTTGTCTCGGGTGACAAATACTGGGAGGTAAACAAGGGCACCCTCCGGGTCCCGAAGGGGCGGAGGCGGCGCCTTGTCCCCCCGGCCCCGCCCCCTCCTGCCGGGTCCGGAATTCCAATCCCCAAGCGCCTGGGCCCCCACGCCGCACACCGCAGCGCTGCGCCGGGAGCTCGGAGTCCGGCGGCTTCCCTGTCTTTGGCTGGCCTGGCCTTCGCCTGGGCATTCACTGCCTCATCCTACTAGTGTGATAGTTTTTAAAAATTGAGACTCGCATAAAAGCAATGCATGCTCCCTACTCCACCCCCAGTTGCGTAGATCCGCCAAACGGCATATCGCCACATTTTACAGGCTCCTCCAAGCGCGGGTTAAGAACCTCCGTGTTAGTATAGGGAGAGCGCGCCAAAGCTACCTTACCTTACTGCTTACCAGCGTCACAAGCTGCTTTTCCCAAGGTAGAGGACTTTAATTGACATCCTGGTGTACTATTTCTGTGGTATTTAGTTTTGAGGGGTTCCCCCCACTTTTGACATATAGGTTGCATGACTCAAGAAATTTAAATATTTTGTCTTAATTTTTCCGTAAGTTCATTGGCACTTGTTAGACTATGCTCTTTGGCTTATATATGGTTATCATAACAGTACTTGAAAACCAGCAGTTGTTTATCTATGTTTACTAATAAAAATGAGATCTTAAAAAAATGTATTTTCCTAGGAAATGGATAATGGTTGTCCAACATTGTGAGTATACTTAATGCCAGTGAATTATACATTTAGGAATGGGTAAAATGGTAACTTTTATGTTGTGTATGTTTTACCACAAAAAAAATAAAGTGGCGGTTTTTCAAACAGGAAAAAAATGTATTTTCTTGTATTTAAGTGTCCCAGAATTTTGTTAAGCATAATCCTTAGCTGATAACATTCTCTTTTCTGCCTTAAGTTGCAATACCTACAAAATCAGTTACAAAAACACCCAAAAATCCAAATTAACCAAGTAATTCATACTACTTTATTCTAATATCAGTTAGTGAGACACTAATGCATTACACTTTTAAAATGTATTTTTAAGTTTTATGTTTAGAATTTTTTAAATTATGGCATAAAGTAAGCTGTGTTTATATAAAAACTGGGCCTTTATTCAAGAACTGTATATTGAATATGCCAAGCATTGAGCTTGGCAGTCGAGATACAAAGATGAAAAGTCATAGCCTGTGCCCTCAAAAATTTAGTGTAGAGAGACAAAAATAGGAAACAGTACATTAGTTAAAATTGTTCATTAATGAGAGCATAAGACAGTCACCTAAAGACTGTGTAGGGAAATAGGAAAACCCTTCTGTGAAAGTAGCATTTGAGTAGAGGTGGATTGGAGAATTTCAAGCAGAGGGAAACAAAAAACAGAAAGGCCTTTGAGAGAGCCTGGCTTGTTTGGGGATCAATTAGTAGTAGTTCAGTATTACAGGAACTTAATGATGATGGTACTCAACCTGCAGCTTATAAAGGAATTTAGTCCTTATCTCCCCAGTGGAAAACTGGGGAAAATGAAATAATTAGGTTTCCACATTAGATAGCGGTGTTGATAGCATGGTATAAATGAGGTAAGGTTAGAAATCAATTCACTGGGTTCATTCTTTTCTATGAGTCCGAAACTGTAGTCAAAGGGACAATGGTAATAGATGTGAGTCACTTATTTACATGAATAATCTCTCACTACAAGCTAATCAACTTTTTAATGTTCACTAAAGTTTTATTTCACTTGAGGAATTTTGCATTATTTGTATAATTTAATAGGATGGCTTCACAACCTGCTTTTTTTTAATGTTACTGTAATGCAAATAGTGAATTTATTCACATCCAAAATCAGAGCCACTAACTGAAGTTTACATTCTATTCTAGCACTTCTGTTTTCTAAGAATCATGATTCTTAGATCTCTTTTCTTTCTATTCCATCACTTAAACTAGCAACTGATTGGATTTGGGGTACTATTTTTCATAAAGGTTTTTTTTTTTTTTGGAGTGCAGTGGCTCAACCTCGGCTCACTGCAACCTCTGCCTCCCAGGTTCAAGCGATTCTCCTACCTCAGCCTCCTGAGTAGCTGGGATCACAGGCGCGTGCCACCATGCCCAGCTAATTTTTGTATTTTTAGTAGAGACAGGGTTTCACCATGTTGGCCAGGCTGGTCTCAAACTCCTGACCTCAGGATCCACCTGCCTCAGCCTCCCAAAGTGCTGGGATTACAGGTGTGAGCCACCGCACCTGACCCAGAAAGATGTTTTAATCACTTCCCAGTAGTTGATGCCTAGGAGAGGCAAAGGGCCACAAGGGTAAGCTAAGAGTAGATGCTCAGCTCACCTAAGGATTATAGGTTGAATTGTGTTCCCCCCACCAACTTTCTATGTTGAGGTCCTAACTAACACCCTGTATCTCGGAAAATGATCTTACTTGGAAATATAGTCACTGCAGAAATAATTAGTTAAGATGAGCTCACACTGCAATAGGGTGAGCCCCTAATCCAGTATGACTGATGTCCTTATTAAAAGGGGAAATTTGGACAGAGACAGCCATAGAAGTAAGATGATGTGAAAAAGACACAGGAAGAAGATGGCTATCAACAAGCCAAGGAGAGAGGCATGGAACTGATCCTTTCCTTACAGCCCACAAGGAAGCAGGGAAGGAACCACCCCTGCTAATATCAATTACCATTCTCTTCTCCATAACAGCAGAGAAAAGGAAAACATTTCTATATTTAACCTACTTTTACCATCGCTGCCAAGACTTCACTCTTATAACACACTTCCTGACTTAAAAGTACCATTAAGAGGCACAGTAAAGTAATAAAAGAAATAAGGCTTAGCTGAGATCACATACAGTTTTTGGTTACAGAACAAGCCCATTTTTTGTGTGAAAAATATATACAGAATCTGGTAGCACAAAAAATCTAGTCCTAAATTTAATTCTCAAAAGATGAATTAAATACACACACTCAAAACATAAGGCCAGTTCACTATACTATGAATTATTTGCCACACTATTATGACTTTATCAGAAAACTAAAATGTCCGTTAAAGAGTTAATACTAAACGTGTTTCTCATTGTTTTAATCCTGTTGCAGTCCTAAATGCCAAGTAAGATTGTATTTCTCAAAAAGTTTTAAAGCCACTTTTTCAAGAACATATCAATTGTATATATTCTAAAAAGTCCACAAATTTATTTCTATTAAAATGATACACATTTCTAAAACATGTATCAAGGTGAAACATGTATCAAAATAATATAGAGGAAAATAGTTGTGTTTTTCATTTCTTAAAAAATGCGTAAATTAGAACCCAGCCAGGGCTTGTGGTTTTGAATGGTTCACTTAGCATTTCTAGGCCTTTTCAGATGGAGTTTCACTCTTGTTGCCCAGGCTGGAATGCAATGGCATGATCTTGGCTCACTGCAATCTCTGCCTCCCAGGTTCAAGCGATTCTCCTGCCTCAGCCTGGAAAGTAGCTGGGATTACAGGCATGCGCCACCATATCCAGGTAATTTTGTATTTTTAGTAGAGACGGGTTGGTCAGGTTAGTCTCGAACCCCTGACCTCAGGTGATCCACCTGCCTAGGCCTCCCAAAGTGCTGGGATTATAGGCATGAGCCACTGTGCCTGGTCTTTTCTAGGCCTTAGATTGATAGACAATAAATTGAAGTTTATGGGATAATCTCCAAGGTAGAATTCAGCTCTTAAATCATATGATTCTATAATTCTGTGAATATGTGATCACAGTGTGGGAAAATAATACATTTTAACTTATGCAGTTGGGCAGTCAGGAAATTATAATTTCATTTTAAAGAATAAGTAACTTGGGTCATATGAAATCCCTTGACTATAAGAGTGCCAATGAAGTCAGGCGCAGTAGTTCACGCCTGTTAATACCAGCACTGGGAGGCCGAGGCAAGTGGATCACCTGAGGTTAGAGTTCGAGACCAGCCTGGCCAATATGGAGAAACCCCATCTCCACTAAAAATAAAGAAATTAGCCACGCGTAGTGGCGTGCGCCTGTAATCTCAGCTACTTGGGAGGCTGAGGCAGGAGAATTGCTTGAGCCAGGGAGGCGGAGGTTGCAGTGAGCCAAGATCACACCATGGCACTCCAGCCTGGGTGACAGAGCAAGACTCTGAGCTCAGGAGTTTGAGACCAATCTGGGCAACATGGCGAAACCCTATCTCTACCAAAAATACAAAAATTAGCCAGGCATGTTGGCATGTGCTGGTGGTCCTGGCTACTCAGGAGGCAGAGGTGGGAGGATAGCTGGAGCCCAGGAAGTTGAGATTGTAGTGAACCGTGATCACACCACCGCACTCCAGCCTAGGCGACAGAGCAAAACCGTGTCCCAAAAGATATAAGTAAGTTTTAAAATCAAAACAGCATTAGGATAAAGTTGATAGCCCAAATATAATAATGTAGACTAAACTTTACATTACACAGTATTGCTCAGTCATCCTATTCTTTAATTAAAATGACCTTACCAGCATTTTTCCCTGCCAGATGATATCAGTATATTACTTTACTTGCCAAACTTTGTCTGAGTTCAGCATCTCATGAATTGTAAAATATAAACATTAGGCAATAAACTATGAGTTAGTGAAGCTGTTTCCAAAGTAGTCCTCTAACACCTCTAAATCGCTATTCTGTTGATAAACTGGAATTTATCTAGAGCAGTTGTAATAATCTGACAGGAATGATCTGTGTTAATGCCAGTTATTGAAATTCCTAGCATTTATTTAGTTTTCCTAAAAACTTGACTTTTCATAATCTGTGGTCATCAAACAGAGGTAACAATGTGCTAGCAGTCCTCACTCTCAGCACCTCCTCTGCCTCGGCGTCCACTCGGGGCGATTGAGGAGCCCTTCAGCCCATCACTGCACTGCGGGAGCCCCGGCCGACGCCTGGAGCCGGCTCCCTCTGCTTGCGGGGAGGTGTAGAGGGAGAGGAACCCGGGCTTACCACAGCGCTCACAGGCCAGTGCAAGTTCCGGTGGGTGCGGGCTCGGGGAGCCCCACACTCAGAGCTGCCGGAGGGCACCACAGGCCCAAGGCAGTGAGGGGCTTAGCACCCAGGCCGGCAGCTGCGGAGGTTCTGCTGGGTCCCCCAGCACTGGCGGCCCACATGCACCAAGTTCAAATTCTCCCAGGGCCTCTGCAGCCTACCCCCGCAGCAGGGCTCAGGACCTGCAGCCCGCCGGTCAGAGCCCCACCTCTGTGGTGCGCTCCCACGCAGCCAGAGCCTCCCCGATGGGCGCCGCCCCCTGCTCCCTGGCACCCGGTCCCATCTGCCCAAGGGCTGAGGAGTGAGGGCACGTTGGGCAGCTCTGCCTGCAGCCCCAGTGTGGGCTCCACTAGGTGAAGCCAGGTGGGCTCCTGGGTTTAGTGGGGACTTGGAGAACTTTTATGTCTAGCTGGAGGACTGTAGATGCACCAATCAGCACTCTGTGTCTAGCTCAGGGTTTGTAAATGCACCAATGGGTGCTCTGTATCTAGCTAATCTAGTGGGGACTTGGAGAACTTTTCTGTCTAGCACTCCGTGTCTAGCTAAAGGATTGTAAATGCACCAATCAGCGCTCTGTGTCTAGCTCAAGGTTTGTAAATGCACCAATCAGTACTCTGTATCTAGCTGATCTAGTGGGAACTTGGAAAACTTTTCTGTCTAGCACCCTGTGTCTAGCTAAAGGATTGTAAATGCACCAATCAGCACTCTGTGTCTAGCTCAGGGATTGTAAATGCACCAATCACCACCCTGTCAAAATGGACCAATCAGCAGGATGTGGGTGGGGCCAGATAAGGGAATAAAAGCAGGTTGTGAGGGAGCCTGAGACAACTGGCTGGGTCCTCTTCCAGGTTTTGGAAGCTTTGTTCTTTTGTTCTTTGCAATAAATCTTGCTGCTGCTCGCTTTTTAGGGTTCATGGTGCCTTTATGCGCTGCAACTCTCACCGGGAAGGTCTGCAGCTTCACTCCTGAGGCCAGCGAGACCACGAACCCACCGGGAGGAATGAATACTTGCAGACGGGAGGAACGAACAACTACAGATGCCCCGCCTTAAGAGGTATAACACCGCGAAGGTCTGTGGTTTCACTCCTGAAGCCTGCGAGACCGTGAACCTACCAGAAGCAAGAAACTCCGAACACATCTGAACATCTGAAGGAACAGACTCCGGACACACTATCTTCTAGAACTGTAACGCTCACTGCGAGGGTCTGCGGCTTCACTCTTAAGTCAACGAGACCAAGAACCCACCAATTCCGGACAAAACCAGATTGGAAAATACTGATGGAAAGTGAATATACACTTATTTTTTTAAGCCCTTCTGCAAAGCAATAAAAAGTTTTGATAATTATTAACTCAGCCAACCTTAAGTATACTTTATAAAAAGTTAGTTGCATATAAAATAATTGCTTTCTAGAGTTTTATAATGTAAAAACCCAAAAACTGTTACTCTGCACCCAGTTTCTCAAAGACAAATCTTACGTTGGTGCTTAATATTTTCAAATTGTTTTAAAAGCTGTGAGAGGGGAAGGATTAGCCTACTGAAGTATTATGAAACAGGCACATCCACTAATGGGTAGATCGCCAATTCAGAAGCCTAACTGTATACTCACCCCAGAAATTCAATTTACTGAAATAACACTGTTTTTGAAGAAGTGAAGCACAGGTTAGGAAGGAATGAAAACCTCTCATTCTGATGCTAACATTTTCAATGCAAAACAATTAGTCAAATATATTTTGTTTTCCTATTTAAACAACTATTTTTGTGAGTTATGGTAAACTGGCCAGGTGCAGTAGTTCACACGTGTAATCTCAGCATTTTGGGAGGCCAAGACAGGCAGATTGCTTGAGCTAAAGAGTTCCAGACCGGCTTGGGCAACATAGTGAGACTTCCTTTCTACTAAAAAAAGAAAAATTACCCAGGCTTGGTGGTGCGTGCCTGCAGTCTGTGCTACTGAGGCTGACGGCAAGAGGCTCACTTGAGCACAGGAGACAGGGGCTACAGTGAGCTATGACTGAGCCACTGCACTCCAGCCTGGGATAGAGAGTGAGACTCTGTCTCAAAAATAATAATTAGAAGAAGCAGCAGCTAAATGTCCACAAGAAAGTTACTTAGTTCTAAAATCCTCTACTACAATTAGAAAAAAAATGACAAGTTGCAAAAATCATGTTGAAAATACTTTGGAGATCTGTTGAAGCAATCAAAAAATAACTCAAATTAAAATTCCAGACCGGAAAGAGCCCTTCCTAGGTATGCTGATGAGTTTTGAAAACATTTTGTAGATTTTAGGCATGGAACTGAAGTCAGTCTAACTTGGCCTAGGTAAAAGGATTTTGACTAAATGAAAGAGACTCCAGCAAGCATCTGTCAGTTGTATTGGTGGGCGTTAGCACAATCAATTGGAAACTAAAGGACTCTGAAATATCCATAATGGCCCATTTTCCACAGATTAGCTGAATGCCAAGGTGGTATGGGAGACGAGAGAGTTGTGCCAGAAGCTTCTAAAAGACAAAGCTAAATGTCCCAGGGTTTCACAGTGTTTAGTGGACAAAAGTCCAGCTGGAGGGAGGGGTCTGCCACAAACTTATCATTGTCTTTTCCTGAAGACATTTGACATTTTTTAAACTTGTTTAGGCAGGAGTGTAGAGACACAAGTTCAAACCCTCCAAAGAACAGAAATGAATTTTTCATAGTCTTTAAGGGCTAAGGAGACACAGACTGTCAATCCCTTAATCAAAAGACTGTGTGATAGTGTCTTAATGTATGAGCAACAGAAATAAGCCACAGATGGAAGGGTCTTACTAAAACTTTGCAGCCTAGCCTGGACACAGCTCAATCTCTAATTGGATTGAGATAATCCTTTAACTTTCTCCCTGTTAGCAATAGGTAGAATATTGCAAAAGTCAAACCATCTCTAGTAGAAGATATCATCTGGACCACATCATAATATATAAATAAAGTATTGAAAACTAAAGACAGAAAATCTTAAAAGGAACCAGAGGAAAAAGGAAAAATAATTCAAAACAGCAACAGTAAGTCTAAATGCTGATTCTTCAACAGAACTAGGGAAACCAGAATCCCATAGAATGACATCTTTAGATCGCTGAAGGGAAAAAAAAAAAATTGCTAACCTCAAGTTCCATATCCAGGGAAAAAGCTTTCAAGAATTACAGCAAAATAAAGATGTTTCTGGACAAAGAGAAGTTGAGAGAATTCACTGCGAGGAATCCTACTTAAGGAAAATAATCTCAAATCCTTAGGAGGAGGAAAAGAGCATAATCAAGGGTAATTACGTAAATTTTAAAAGAGTATTACCTTCTTAAAACAGCAATAATAATGTCTTGTGGATTTTTATAAACTGGACAAGTAGAATCTATGACAACGATGGCATAAAGGGTAGGAAGAATAAGTAGATTTAAATTGTTACAAGGGTCTGACCCCATAAGAGTCTCTGTGGTGTTTTTTTGTTTTTTGTTTTTTGTTTTCCTTTGAGACAGTCTCGCTCTGTCGCCAGGCTGGAGTGCAGTGGTGCAATCTTAGCTTTCTGTAATCTCTGCCTCCCAGGTTCAAGCGATTCTCCTACCTCAGCCTCCCAAGTAGCTGGGACTACAGGCGCGTGCCACCATGCCCAGCTAATTTTTGTATTTTTAGTAGAGACGGGGTTTCACCATGTTGGCCGGGATGGTCTCGATCTCTTGACCTCATGATCCACCCACCTCAGTCTCCCAAAGTGCTGGGATTACAGGCATGAGCCACCACACCCAGCCTTGTTTTGTTCTTGAATTGTAATAGAATTGTTCATTTGGCCCATATTCAGATGAATATCTGTCACTTTCATATACTAGCAAATCATCCTTTTGTAAATTTTTGAGACTGAGTCTCACTTTGTTGCCCAGGCTGGAGTGCAGTGGCACCATCTCAGCTCACTGCAGCCTCCGCCTCCCAGGTTCAAGTGATTCTCCTGTCTCAGCCTCCCAAGTAGCTGGGATTACAGGCATGCGCCACAATGCCCAGCTGATTTTTGTATTTTTAGTAGAGTGGGGTTTCACCATGTTGGCCAGGCTGGTCTCGAACTCCTAACCTCAAATGATTCCTCTGCTTCGGCCTCCCAAAGTGCTAGGATTACAGGCGTGAGCCACTGTGCCCAGCTGAAAATAACTTTGTATCTGCTTTTGTGTAGGTGTTTTCTGCTAAAGTAAATTTGTGATATATTAATACTATATTGACCTTATATCAATTCAATGATTGATAACGACTTAAAACTGCAAATTCTTGTGTAAATACTCATATAAAGGTGGCATATTTACAACTTTGTCCTCTAAATCGTGTTGTTACTGGGCTTAGTATTTTGACTGTATTTAAAAATATATTCACAAACTATGAAATTTTCAGATACACTTTTCAAAATATACATCTAATTTTAAAGCCTGGAATTCTAATCAGACTGAAAAAAATGCGCTTATGCATAATTGAGGATTATGCATCCTTCACCCTGCTCGGGCCACTCCTGGAGTCAGGGTAGTAGAGCACAGCACTGCAGAGGCCGGAGCTAGAGTAAAAGAAAAAATGCCTTCCATCCTCTTGGCTTTGAATCTCCCATTAACAGAACTGAACTGGAAACAAACTGGCAAGTGAATCTGGGAAACCATTTTTAGGATTCCAGTACTCTGTAATATAGAGAGAGTAAAAGAATGAGAATGGAACTGACAGACAACAGACAAATAACCAGCACAGTCAAACAACTGGCAAGTGGTAGAGTTTAGATCTCAAACAGTCTAGCTCCTGAGTCCATTCACTTAACTGCTACAGTATGCAGTGACACTATGATATGCTATAGCAACATTATTTCATACATTTTTAAATTAATGGCTGATGACGAATGCGGGTTGGCAGGAAAGAAATTGTAGGAATTGGATTCATTAAATATTCCAGAAATATTAAGTTTCTACTTTGTGCCGGACACTACTCCAAAACCAAAATGAAAGGAAGATGAAGGAAGAGAGTTCCTTTCTCACTGTTTCAGACTGGACAAAATTCCCTGTGAATGATTCCAACTGGCTTGATTTGAATCGTGTGCCCCCCTCATTAAGCTAGGCACTTTCGGGGCAGGTATTAGGGGAAATAACCTAGTGGAAATACTCACTAGAAACCTGAGACAAGGATTTTGTTGCAAATAGTTTATCTAAGAGGTGCAGGAAACACCAGTAGGAGGTGGGGAAGCGAGACAAAGAAGGGAAAATAGTCAATAAAGGGTGCGGTATCAAGCCAGCTACCACTTGTAATGACTGCAGCATAATCCCATGAGAAAACTCTGGGAAAACACAGGCCTCAAAGTTATCCCATCTGAAGGCCAAGCGAGCTGGGGTATCTACGTAACAAATCTTTCCAGTCACTGGGTGAAGGCTGCTAGAGTGGGAGTTTGTTAATTCCCAGGCATTTCCAAATTGCCCTGATCACACAAGGACAGAGCTGCCTTCCACAGCTTTGGAGAAAGCCCTCAGCCAAGAAATGAACCTTGAAGTGGTAATGGCCAGAGAGACAAGAGCAGGGTCTGTCTCAACTTCTTCACCAGGTAAAAATTTTATCTGCCTAATGCATGGAGTTATAAATTTCAAAAGAAAGAACACCTATGAAAGAGTGTTATAAAATATAATACCAAAAATTCTTGTTTAGGAGTTTCTTGAAGGCAGGAAGTAATATCATGTTTTTACATCTCTCATAAGGCCTAGTACAGTGCTATGCATATGCATAGGCTCAAATATTTACTGGATGAATTTTTCAATGTAATGATTATTAAATATTCATTAAATATTATTTTCTAGGTTAATAGGTGTTTTTAAACTTATAGTTCATATCAATAACTCATTACTGTTAACTTCTGAAAAACTTCATCTGTTTGAAAACTATAAAGTAGCATGGTCTTGTTCTATTCCTTTGTCTAAAATTCTTAAATCTAGTTTGTTGTTCAGAACTCTGTTAATTACCCAAAACCCATTTTCTCCTTTTTTCTTACTTTAAAATATACCTTGATTATAAACAAGTTATTGATAAATTATTGCAGATTCAAACCAATCATGAGAAAGCTATTCTCAGTAGCATTCGAGAAGGGTAAGAAAATCGTAGACATCAACCCGGACATTAATTGAACTACTGAACCAATACCAGTAACCATCTTCTCTCCATCTTCTTATATGTCAGAAAAATAAACTCATAATAATACAGTTAGGTAGGTATTCTATTATATGCAGCCATTGACTAATAACTTTTTTAATAGCATTTTTTTCTTCTTTTGCATAGCAACCCCAAGACAAGTCATTTATTTCTGGACTAGATTATTTCATTACAGTAACTCATCAGA